TCTGAGTAACGAACTGTCAATCATAATGACAGTCGTCTGATCACTTATGCATCATGACCCATTAATAGTTATTTATTATATTATAAGTGCTTTATGGAGCATTTCATCCACGCAAAAAAGTTTAAATAAAAAAACTACGTCTAGCGATTGACCGCACCAAAATTATCTTCAATTGTCATCCCCAGCCGTCTTTGACACCGTTTTTTTTCGATTATTCGGTAGTTAGAGCCTTTAATTTTCTTAAGAGGAAAAATACAACTAAAACACGAATATAATACGTTTTATCCACAAACACATCATAGGAAAAATTAGCAGCAAGCGTTTTTTTTAAATCAAATTACAGAGAGCGTTTGTTGTTATGGTAACTATGTTGTTTAACACTGATACAAACAAAAGCTTGACAAAAGTAAAATTCATAGCATTCGCTCGAGTCGTTTAGAATTTACAAACGAATTTTAAAAAACCACGAAAAAATATAAGAAGATAATATTGGTATTCTTGCAGCAATTTTTGCGGAATTTCGGAAGAAGGAACTGCCTATTTACTGCCTGCAGCGAAGTCTAGAGAACAAATTTTTAGTGGAATAAAGATATTTTGACCTACTAGTGGATAAAATATAATTTTAAACGCTTCATCTGAGTATATAAAGCTCATGTTATTAAATGAATGTGAATATATCATTTTTTTCTATAGCAACTGTTAAAATTGCCTTATATCTATCAAAAATGGTAGATAAAATAGTACTTCAACCGCAAGGGTAGATTAAATGATACTTTAACAGCGAGGATAGGTTAAAAACTTTATTTCTTCTCGCACGATTTTTAATTGCTTCCATTTTTGAAAGTTTTTGTATTTCTTTTCATAAATTATTCGGGATTTGGAATGGAAGTAGTTCGGATATGGCGTTTGTCGTCTCAGCCTGAATATCTGTTGGTTACTTAAAACTGACAACTAAAGAGACAGCTTTATTTATTTGTCAAATTACATAGAAACCAACGCCAACCCAGCACAATATTTTTTCTACTCGTAATAAATCCCTTGAAATAATAATTTCTGAATATTGTTTTATACACGACGATAAAATTGCATTATTCATCGCTCGCGAATTAATCTCTTCCCCTAGACGATAAAATACCTTTTTATCGTCTTGTATAAAAAATAACTATTATTATCATTAACAACATATTTAGGCCATAACTACGCTACACCACTGTACAAAAACAAGGCCCTCTATTCTCGCATTCCTCGTTCTTTCTCTACCTTGCAGCTTCTTCTCCGTCTCCCAGAACTTCTGCAGTTCCGTAAAGTACTTGTCCAAAATGAACACCTTGCTCAAACCCAGCGTAGCCATTCTCAACAGTACCAGCGCCTAAATTGGCACCTTTTTTCAGACATAATAGCACTGCACTGGCACTAGATCAGTCATAGAAACATAAAAATTAGACAGAAAGTCGCGTGTTAAGGTAGTACTTCGGTGGTACCTCGGTTGCACTGACTAAGACCGGTCCAAACGGTGGTGACCGCCTTCGACGTTTACCTGTGCCCCACGAGCCGCGGCGTTGCCGCTTTTTGCACAACAAAAATGCCGTTAACAGAGCTTTGGAGTGTGTGTGTGTTCGGGTCCTGAGGCTTGTCACGTTTGAAACAGGGATGTTTCATAGTCTAATCATTTTATGCTAGTCAAAAATGCTTTTATCTTTTATTTAAAGAGAAGAACAATGTATTCACCATCGCCATTTCAAGCTTATCCAACCATTTCCAATGATGGTGTAGCCAGAGCTACAAACTCACGGAATACTGAAGTCTTTTTTGATTTAAATCATCTTTAATCATTTTTTCTGTAAATTTCTGGTATTAAAGATCCTGAGCTGTATATTAGTTGTCCCAAAACGACGTAATTTGGTATGTAAAATTATACGGGAATATCATTGGTCGTCATTTCCAAGCCAACAAGACGCCGTTTTTTTCAATCATGCGGTATATCTCCCAAGATGATGATGATTAACAATCAAATATGCACTGCAGCATCATTATAATTAACTAGCGTGTACCCGCGACTTCTTTCGCGTCGAATTAATCATTTGTAATGGTGATGATAAAGCAAAGCAAGAATTTCCATTAACATACAAACTGGATAAAATTAAATAAAAAAAAGCAATATGGCGATATTATTATATAACTTGGTAAGCCAAAAATCAGTTTTAAACGTCAAGCAGTTTAAACAGAATCGTGATTACTCAATTGTCATATTTCATGAAACACCCTGTATAAATTTTTAAAAAATCTTAAAATATGTAAAACAACAAAATAAAATATACGTGTTTAAGAGTTTTTCCGAAAAACTCACCGGTTTTTAAATAAAAAATATTATTATTTTTGGGGGGGTTTCACCCCCTTTGAATTAGAGTTTCGAAAAATCCTTTCTTATCGAACCTCTACACCCTAAAGTCAATCCGTTTTCCAAAAATCAGCTTTCTACGTCAAGCGCTTTAAGCAGGATCATGATTAATCAATGGCCAGATTTTATGAAAAGCATTCTATACATTTTTAAAAAAAATCTTAAAATATTTAAAAAAACAAAATAAAATATACGTCTTAAAGCGTTTTTTTCGGAAACTTGGCCGTTTTCTAAGAAAAAAAAATTTTAATGTTTGAGTGGTGGTTTCACCCCCTTGGAACTGGAATTTCGAAAAATCCCTTCTTATGGAACCTCTACACCCTAGAATCAACCTGTATGCCAAAATTGAGCTTCTTACGTTGAGTGGTTTGAGCAGGATCGTGATTAATCAGTGTGTTACTTAAGGATTTTATATATTAGTATAGATTAACATAAACTATCAAAAATTATGACATGATTTTGATGATTTCTAATAAAAATAAATGGTGCATTTACATGCATAATTGTAGAAATTTTAATTCTTGACAGCTAGGAATGCACTGAACGTTGTAGTGCAGCGAAAGAGATTTAAAACTCATTTTTGCACAACCGATCATAGTTTTATGTATCGCTTCTGCTGCACTACAATGTTCAGCACTTTCCCAGTCGTGAGCTATGCGTCATACAAAAAAAATCCTTATACAGTAGTTGTCGAGAATTAAATCCTCTACAACTTTGCTATTGAAATATGCCCCATATTTTTATTAAAAATAATCGAAAAATTGAAAAAAACGGTTTGTGCCAAAAATTTTCAAAATTTATGTTAATGAATAGCTATAAACAATATTTATTTACACAATCACCTAAACACAACTTGTAGAGAATTTAATTCTCTCAAAATTTGTTCATTACATTTTTTGTCGAAAAATTGGTCTATTTCAGAGAAATTATCATTTTTATGTTTTTCAAGAACTCTAGGGTTACTCGTCTATTCGCCTGTTGATGTCTCCATTTAAAACCTATTATAAATAATAAAAAAAAGCGTGAGAGATAGCTTTGAAATGACCGCTGATACTTTGTACGTAAATTTATATGGTTGGTGTCATCAGTAATAATTTCCAAGCCAACTTGACGCCGTTTTTTTCGATCATACAGGGTGGTGCTTCTCACAGATCGCAGAAACTCCAAGGAGAACGATATCGACAGTTTGTATTGTAATTAAATTTTTAGAGCATATGTAGGTCAACTTAGAGCATTTTTAACAAATATATAGAGTTCTACAGGGTGTCCCCAAGAAAATTTGTAATAATTACACTATAGGTACATATTTATATTAAGTAATTGATTCAAGAAAAAAAATAAATGGGAGTTTCAATAAAGAAGCATATGATTAAAATGTTAGGTTTTTGACATAGTAACATTAAATTTCAATAAAAGCTACCAATATTGTATTTTACTAATTTGGCACCTATGTTGAAGTAATGTCAGACATGTCAATTTTATCAAATTACAAACATCTGTATACTAACACTGAATCATAAAAATGAAAATATCTAGCAAAGTCTTAGTCTGAGAAGCAGACACCTTTACTAGATATATATTCCTCTATTGATTAACAAAATAATATACTGGGTATTCCATTTAAAATAAAGGAGTACCTTGCTTTCAAAGTTGATCAATGTTCAGTATTCATTTTGTCTCACCCTGTATAACTCTTCGAATCAAGTTTTAATTTTGTTTAAAGTACAATTATTAGGTTATTTTAACTCCATATCGAACTATACAGGGTAAAAATAATCCTACAAACGGCTCAAAAAATATGTTTCAATGAAAAATGTCGATCTGTATTCTTAATGATTTGAAAGTACATATGCAAATAAAAACAATACTATTACTATAATTATTATTCGATAAGCTTAAGACATGTAATAGCAGTCTGTAAATTATGTCTTAGCAACAGTGTAAAGTTTGTTATTTCTTTAAAGACAGATTATGGTTGGTATCTAATAGAGTTCTAGAATTTAAAGCTGAGACAGCACGACTGCTAGCTCCTTTCCATCTGACCTTTTGGCACCTACCGCAGACTTACCTGGGCCGGCCACGTTGCCAAACTTACAGAAAATCGCAAATTAAAGGACAATCCAAAAAAATATGTTTTTTTTTAGAATAAAAGTGTGTCTTTGGTTGGTCTATTTTATCATATAATTATCTATAATTGTGTATAATTTTATTTAATAATATTTCGTGGTATAATGTTGATAAATACGTTGTTGCCTGGCGCATTCGTCATTTCTTAAAAGATTTAAAGATATTGCGCTTTTAAAATATCTCAATCAACTCAAGAACGGTTGAATCTTTTTATTCGCCATTTTGTCAAGAAAATCAAAAAGGTAATATTGCAACTAACCAAAAGTTGTCATTTTTTTTTTGGTAATATGGAAAATTTCAAGAACTTCATATTTTTTTCTTTATTTTTTTTTTTAATTTTTTAGATAAATTTTTAAAAGTTTATATATATTACATAATCGAGTTTTTAAATTTTCATTTCACAGGCAACTTTGACGCTGTATTTTTTTCAATAGATAAAATCATCAAATCTTTTTGAATAAAAAACATCCAAAAATATGTATAGATATCTATTTTTATTTCAAAAATATTTTGATTACATACATATTACGTATAATTTTAATCAGTGGCAACAGAATCTATAGTTTTGTTCCTTGTTTCAAGATTTTCAACAGATTTTTCAACATTTTTCAACGTTTTCGTTGCAACATTTTCAACGTATATGTCTGAATCCCAATCAAGTTCTTCAGTAGCTGACGACTCAATAAAAATGATAGCTACGTCTTCACCTATACCGCCTCCAATCAAGTAAACGTTTCCATTAGTGTTGATTGTGACACAAGTAATTTTCTCTGCTCCTTGCCAGCCAATCTAAAATCAGAACTATTTTAAAAAATTACGAAAATTAATAATCTATACTAATATATAAAATCCTTAAGTGACTGACTCACTGATTAATCACGATCCTGCTCAAACCACTCAACGTAAGAAGCTCAATTTTGGCATACAGGTTGATTCTAGGGTGTAGAGGTTCGATAAAAAGGGATTTTTCGAAACTCAAATTCTAAGGGGGTGAAACTATCCCTCAAATATTACAATATTTTTTATTTAAACAACGGTCAAGTTTCCGAAAAAACTCTTAAACACGTATATTTTATTTTGTTGTTTTACATATTTTAAGATTTTTTAAAAATTTATACAAGGTGTTTCATAAAATATGACCATTGAGTAATCACGATTCTGCTTAAACTGCTTGACGTTTAAAGCTGATTTTTGGCGAATGGATTGACTGTGGGGTGTAGAGGTTCGATAAGGAGGGGTTTCTGGAATCTCAAATTCCAAGAGGGTGAAAACGCCCCTCAAATATCACAATATTTGTTATTTAAAAAACGGTTAGTCTTTCGGGAAAACGCTTGGACAGGCATAATTTATTTTGTTTTTTTACATATTTTGAAATTTTTTAAAAAATCGTACAGGGTGTTCCAAAAAGTTGGGTAATTTCTTAACCACGATTTTGCTTAAACTGCTTGACGTAAAAAGCTTATTTTTGGCAAACGGATTTTTTGAAAGTCAAATTCCAACGGGATGAAACTACCCCTCAAATGTTACCATGTTATATAATAATATCGCCATATTGATTTTTCTCACGCTGACATAAATGTCAGAAAATTTTATCCATTTGTATGTTAATGAAAATTCTTGTTTTGCTTTATCATCACCATTACAAATGATTAATTCGACGTAAACGAAGTCGCGGGTACACGCTAGTAAGCTTATATTAATTCAGTAAGAAATAAATTATAAAATATTACTACACATACTTACTGTATAATTTCTGCTACCCAATTCATTGATGCACGTTTTCGAGTAAATCACTCTCCTATAACGAGAAACATCATCACAATCACCAAATTCATAAGGTTTCAGACCAACATCGGCACATCCATCCGAATCAGCGGACAGCGCTTGTTGTTGTAGGACAACTGCGGTCAAAAACAGCACTAACAAGAACCCCATTGTTGTACTAATATAATAACAACCTTAAATGAGCTAAAGGATTTGAAATTTTAAATTGCACTTAACACACCATCAACTGATTTAACAATATAATGTTATTTATTTCGTTTTGTGCTATACGTAGTTGTCTGGGAGTTTGTGAGATTAAATAGGATTATTTGGAAAATTAGTCGATATAAATTTAAAAAAAAATAGAAGTATTTACTTATTTTTAGATAGAGATTGTTTGTATCGATGAGATAAACAGGAAACTTGTGATACTGCATCATAAAAATCCCCATTTGGCGATTAACTTTTGATATTGAATTAGTATATAAATATATATTTTATGTTCGTGTAAGCTAAGATATATAAATAACAATAATAGGTATTAGAAATATAGTTTATTTATTTATCGTATGGCAAGCACATCGTTTAACAGATATTACAAAATAATACACGTAAAAATATAAACAATACAAAAAGATATAAAATATATAAATATAAAAAGAACACGGTAATAAAAAGAACACGGTAAGAAATATAGTAAGATGTTTTGACTTATTCATTATACAGTATGTTCCTGGAAGTCCTAAAAATCAAAACGCGTTAAAAAGTACCGTATGATCAAAAGAAAACGGCGTCCAGTTGGCTTGGAAATGACGATCAATGACGTTCCTCTTATAATTTTACAAATAAAATGGTAGCAATCTTCATTTTATAGCTATTGCTGACGCAGTTTTTTAAATCATATTGTATATGTATATTCAGAAGAATGTCTTAATTTTTCTTATCGTCTGAATGTGAATATTATACAGGGTGGCGCCTTTCATACGCCGCGGAGGCTCCAAGGAGAACGACAGTTTGTATTGAAATGAAATTTTGTGAGCATATGTAGGTTATTTTAGAGCACTAAAAATATAGAGAGTTCTACAAATACAAAACTCGATCAACTAATGTCGACAACATGAGACAAAATCATTGTAGCTGCTTTTCGAGGTAAACTCCACATATGCCTTTAAAAATGAAAAGATCCTTGTGAAAAGACAATCATTTTATGCAGTAAACAGGAAAGGAAGCATTTTGAGCATTTGATTTCATCTAGCTAATTTTTGTCGCGTAATTATATTATTTTTTATTAAATTAACAAAAGGTATATCACACAGCCACCTAGATTTTTTCAAATAATAAATTAAACTAACGCAAAATCATAAAAATTAAAATATATGGGAAAATCTTTGTCTGAGAAATAGGCAACCATAATATTATTTTTTGATGATATATAAATTCCCCATTGAACACCGGAAAAATATACTGGGTGTTCCATTTAAAATAAAGGGGTAACTTGGTTTTAAAAGTGACTAATGCTCCATATTAATTTTGTCTCCCCTTGTATAACTTTTCGGATCAAATTTCAATTTGGTTTAACATACAATGGTTACTGTAATTAAATATCAGACGATACAAGGTCAACTAAAATTTAGGTAGCTTTTATCGAAATTTAAAATTTTTTCTTCATTTTCACAAAATGTGAAATATGTCAAAATCCTTAGGTTTTAGGTATATACTCCTTTAATAAGCTCACCTTTATTTTTCTCCCAGAATTCGAAAATCAATTAATATATAGGGTGTTCCTTTACAAAAAACACAACTTTGATATGTAATTTTTTTGGGGACACCTTGCAGATCTCTCTATATTTTTAAAAAGTGCTCTGAATTAACCTACATATGCTCACAAAATTTCATTCCAATACAAACTGTCGTTCTCCTTGGAGCCTCCGCAGTGTATGAGAGAGGCGCCACCCTGTACAGGGTTGTTCACTACATACGACACGGAGTATTGTAGCTAAACGGCTAGATTTTTACAAATTGTAAGTTTTGGGTTCGTTGAAGGACTATTAGAGCTACAATTTAAAAATATTTTTACAAGATACAGAGTGTCCCAAATAAATAAAAAATATCAAAGTTGTATTTTTTTAAATGGAACACCCTATATATTATTACATTTTTAGTTTCTACGATTAAAATAAAGGTAAATTTGATTAAGGTTTATTACACTTAAACCTTACCGTTTTCGAAATATCTTCAATTTTGTGAAATTGCAGTATAAATTTTAAGGCTTCATTTCTCCGAGGGTATCAAAGTTTTTAATACTAAATATTTACTGAAATTTATTTATTGATCAGTTATTGTATTGCAATAATAAAAACTTTACTACCTTATACAGAGTGTCTAAAAATTTATTTTAAATAATGACTAGCTTTAAACGGCAATAACTTGTTTAATTTAAATGGAACACCCTGTATATTTTATGCGAATCAGATGCACAATTTAATTGTCTATCAAATTGTATTATACCATTTTTTACCTATCTCTTCAAGTTTCCGTAGAAAATGCATTTTCTTGTAATTTAGAACTCATTTATAAATATACCCATGGAATACTGACATTTTAGATTATTTTTAAAGATGTACCAAATGTTTAAAGAGTACAGATACTATTATTGTCGATATAGTTCGTTTATTTCATTAAAAAATAAAAAAAAACTGTTTATATATTTGTTAAAGAGGACCAATTAATATGATTTCAGTATTCAAACTACATTAATTGACTGTTTGCGTTGATTAATAATAATTGATATAAAAAAATATTCTTTCTTGTCGACCCGATATACGTCTTGAAACTACGATTCAACACTCCGTATATTATAGCTTAAGTATTTTAAATAAATAACTCACGAACTGAGAAGAAATAAAAAGAACGAAACAGTACTGAGTACTGAATAAAATAGCCCCGTTTATGCGGCTAAGCTCCAAATGTATAAATCTCCATCTGTAAAGGAATCCATCTGGACGTCACGATATAATAAAGCCAAAGGGTTACAATGACACATGCCTCATGCAAATGCACCCGAGCCGAACTGCATATTTACTTTGCGCGAGGATTTTCAGCGAGTTATAGATCTTGCGGAGGATTTATCGGTACGAACGCGTACTTTAACGTGTGTGTTCGACCTTTACATGCGTCGCGTCAGTACTTACGATGTCCTTTTCGAAAATCACGCAGAAACTGGACCAGGTTCTCGTGCAGGAGTTGCTTCTCTTGGTACCTGCAAAGAGACAAAAAAATATAAGTTTATTTCTTACTGAATTAATTGATAATAAGAAAGTCCATCTACTATTCGTTGATCTAAAGTTCGTAAAAGCGTACGAACGCTTGTTAAACTACTACTACTACTACTGCCATTACTCGCTGACGAGTATTTGACACGCATTAAAAGATGGTCACGCAAGGCGTTTTCTTTCATGAGCTTTTCTGTGACTAAAAAACGGACATTCAAAAATTTCATTGCTTTATTGCCTCTTTACTTTTTGATTGTCGCTGTTAACTGAGCTTACAATTCTTGATTGAGTTCTATTGTGAGCTGCTTCTCCTCACTCATTCTGCATGTTAATGCCCTTTTCGTGAAAAATGTCCTTGTACCTTTTCAGTTGTCCATCCGGCCTCCTCTTAACGTCTACAAGCTCACCGTAAAGCAGTGATTTTGGTATGCGGTTTTCTTGCATTCTGCATACGTGACCAGCCCATCTTAAGCGGGATTTTGTAACCATGGCTTCAATACTCTCGCAGTTAGCTTTTTCAAGAACCGATACGTTTGAGACATGATGGAACCACCGGATTCTTAAGGTGTCTCTGTTGCAACTTGTTTAATGCGTTCATATGTCGGTGGTACGGCATCGGAACCCAGGTTTCGCTCCCATTTAACATGGTGGGGATAATAATTGCTCGGTACACTTCAAGTTTCGTTTTTGTACTCAAGTCATGATTGTAGAAAACCCTATCTTTTAATTTCCAGAATGCTCTTGAGGCGCTGCTAATCCTGTGCTGAATTTCAGAGTCAATATTTATCCGAAATCAAACTGCCGAGGTAATTGAATTCCGCCACATATTACAGTAGTTCTTCTCTGATTTTTATAGCATATTGTTTTGATCTTCCGGTGGAGTGCACATGATTTTGGTTTTGTCGATGTTTAGCTTAAGGCCCAAAGCCTCGTATGCCCAGGTATATGTGTTCAACATCTCTTGTAATTGTTATATACGTTACGCACAATACTCGAATTCGGGTAATGCCCGAAAAAAATGCACAGAACTAGTTTTGAGCAAAAAATATTTCCCAAACCCGAAATTGAACATTTAAACGGGTATTGCGCATTACAAAATAGTGAAAACTAGTATTGTGCATTTTGAATTGTGCAAAACTAGTTTGGTGCATTTCAAAATGACCAATACTAGTTTTGCTCGTTTTCTTTAAATAAGACGGCAAAAAGTAGGGTTGGCAGTTTGTTTAGGTTTTAAAGGATTCTTATTTTGGTTTTGTTGTTGGTGGAAATACGCAATACTTGGTAAAATAAAATATAAAAATGCAAGAAAAAATGGAAGCCGAGTTCGAAATTCAAGTAAGTCAGTTGATGATGGCTAAAACACAGAAACATAACCTTATATCGAAAAACCAATACCTAACGATATTGACTGAAGTTAAGGAGGCAAATTTACTAGGCACTGGGCTAACGGATTATGTTTTGTCCAATCAAAAAAGAATAGAAGCTACCACAATGCAATTAAGAGATCGCCTTATGAGGCCATGTTTGGGCGTGCCCGAAGAAATGGTCTAAAGGACACAGAGTTACCCCAGGATCTAGTGGATTCCTTGGAGTCTGAAGGTGACCTCGAAAACTTGCTTAATGATGTCACTGAAGTTCAGTATGCTACTGAAGAAAATTTGACTGAAAATACAGAAGCTGTAACAGGTTTTGATGAAACTTATGGAGAAGAACTGCAAGTGGATATTGTCGATAAAGAAATGATAAATACGGGTACAATCCAGACCATTATTAAAGATAAAAAAATGAAAATAAGGCCAATAAAGATGTGTCAGCCTCTACTGTAGATGTAGAAACTGAAAGCCTAATCATGAGTGTAAATGAAGTTTCGTTATGCATTGTCTGGAAAGAATTTATCGCAGCTGTAGAAAACTGCTCAAAGTGTAATGGAAAAATTCATGCCACCTGTAGTATTTTAAAAGTAATCCATGAATTTGAGTCAGAATTTCAATGTTTTCTATGCCAACGTTCCTGTGAAATAACTACAAACAGGGAACATGCTAAAAGAGGTTTGGAATTACAAACAATTTACAGCCCTAATTGGGGACAATGTTCTTGTTCGAATACCAGACGTAGATCGAGGAAGATTAGCACCACGAAATGTAATGGCAGTTGTACAAACCGCTGATGATGGATTTACCAATTAGCAACAAAGACTGGAGTTTTACAGAAACTTTATTGTAGAAATGAGTTTCAATTAACTGATAATAATTTTTTTATTGACAACAACAATATTAGCGAACGGAAATATCACTTAGAACTGCATCTTCCGATATATCCGGATCTAGTCAAGGTTTTATTTCATGCATGTGTATAAAAAATGTATTAATAGAGAGTGTTCGTGTAGAAAAAATAATGTTATTTGCAACTCTAAGTGCCACCATTCAAGTTCCTGTTCAAACAAATAATATAATGCTACTGTATAAATATTCATATATATATATAGGTACCTATATTATTATGTATTTATCCATTTATAAAATATTTATTAATAAAGTTTTATTATTTTATTGTGAGTTTAATCATATTTGAATCAAACACATTCATAAACAATCCATCCTTTGTGTTAGAGCGTTATTGATCAAATAGGACAAATAAAACTAGTATTGGACATTTTGAAATGCACCAAACTAGTTTTGCGCAATTCAAAATGCGCAATACTAGTTTTGACTATTTTGTAATGCGCAATACCCGTTTAAATGTACAATTTCGGGTTTGGGAAATATTTTTTGCTCAAAACTAGTTCTGTGCATTTTTTTCGTGCATTACCCGAATTCGAGTATTGTGCGTAACATATATATAATAGACAAGGGGCTAAAAGAACGAGAGCTCGAAGACGACCTCTGGCTAGATAAGGAGCAATGGCGACTTGGCATAGAGTGGCTCAAAAAAGTGTGAGTGGCCCTGGATGATTTTTTTTAAATGGAACACCCTGTATATTATTACATTTTTGGCTTCCTTTCCGATCACTTTACATAACTCTAAGATATGAATAAATACATTTTGATAGTTTCAGAGATATTAAAAAATAAATCGAAAATATATTTTTTTCAGCCCTTCTTAAAAAAATTATTAAAAATACGAGAACTGTTCTGAAAACAAAACTGTATTAGATATTTACTTTAGATGGTCTGTACTTACTTTGCTATAAATATGAAAATCCTAAATTATACAGGATGTTCAAAATTCTACGCCAGACTTTCTAAAATATAAAATAATTTTTCTTCGTTTTTTTAAATGGAACACCATGTATATTATTTTTTCAATAGACGGAGAATTAAAAAATGAACATTTTTTGTATTTAGAGTATTTCAAAATTTTTAACGGTTTCGCAGATATTTGCGGTTTTATGTTTCATATGGCCATTTTCCACGGCAAATTTTTATCAAAGCCACCCAATAATTTTTCTCTTGTATTTTAGCATTGAAAGCGCCATATGAAATAATACTGCGGTTATCTGTAAAACCGTTAAAAATTTTGAAATACTCTAAATACAAAAAATGATCATTTTTAAACTCTCCATCTAATAAAAAAATAATATACAGGGTGTTCCATTTAAAAAAAACAAAGAAAAAATATTTTATATTTTAGAAAGTTTGGCGTAGAATATTGAACATCCTGTATGAATTACGATTACCATCTTTATAGCAAAGTAAGAACAGACCATCTAAAGTAAATACCTAATACCGTTTTGATTTCAGAACAGTTCTTGTATTTTTAATAATTTTTTTAAGAAAGGCTGTAAAATATATATTTTTGATTTATTTTTTAATATCTTTGAAACTATGGAAATATATTTATTTATATCTTAGGGTTATGTAAAGTGATCTGAAAGGAAGCCAAAAATGCAATAATATACAGGGTGTTCCATTTAAAAAAAATCGTCCAGGTCCGCTCACACTTTTTTGAGCCACCCTATAGAAGTTAAAATATTTTCCTGAAATACATCCTGGTACATACCTTAGGTTTGCACTAAAACAAAATTCTCAAGTTTTTTATTCTAGGAGCTACAGATGCCCGACGCACTATTGCCGGACCCTGTATAATACAAAAAAAAATATCAACATACCTACCTACAGAAAAATTCAGATTTGATATTGTGAGTGCGCAGAAAATAATCGTATGTCTCAAAAAGCTGAAGAAGTCTGTAGAGGGCAAAGGAACTCTGCTCATAGGTTTCATCAGGTAGAAGCATAATATTCTTTCATGGTGTCTGGAAAAAAACATAAAATTCAGATCCGTATTTTAGATTTTTAGATACAACTCTTTCAAAAACTATTCAAAATATCCCCTAGTTGTAAAGAACAATGTCAAATACAAAAATCATATTCAAAAACCTTTAATCTACCTATTTGAGTTTCAGAAATAATTTTTTTAGTATTGAAAATACTTCTGGCCGCGTTTATATGGGACCCATCTTTGAAAAAACGACATGCTAGAGGCGACATGGAATTCAATAACCTGCCTAATCAACTTGTCAACACGTAACTCGATAGCTGAATAGAGCAAGGCCGTCCGAAGGCCGAAATGAGGTCTTATTAGTGTGGGCCAACTATTTTATGGATATGGATGTTTAGTCCATTTGGATGTAGTCCATGTAAATTTAGGCTATTAGGACCGATATTTTTTTATATGATAATTATTTTTTTAATTAACAACTTAGGACAAAGAAAAAGCTTGCATGGTTTCCACCGCCAACGTAAAACAAATGAATTCAAGGCGGTGCCAAATATTTATTGGGATAAGTTTTTATCGTTTAAATATTGTTGTAAATAATAATTATCATTTAATTAGTGCTAACTTATTAAATTTCACAACACGGCGAAATTTCAACAAAATCGGCTAACGGATCTTTGAGATATTAATAAAAAAGGTCTTGACACCCCTGTATCTTTAAAATACCTTGACACCCCTGTATCTTTAAAATTATACATTTCCGGACATATGTTTATATGAACTTTTTACCTTAAAAACACTCAAAGAATCACCTCCTGAAGTTTGGCCAGATACTTAATTAACGTCCTGTATTTAAAAATGGCTAGCTAGTGATTTAGTAAGCTATGTCTATTTTAACAGGCAACGGAGGTAGTCGTAGGTGGGACACCAATAGCAAGAGTCTCAAAGTTTAGATATTTGGGCAGTTGGATTAGTGAAGACCTAAACCCAGACATTGAGATCAGAGCTCGAATTGAGATGGCTAGATCAAACTTCCTAAAATTGCGGAACCTACTGTGCGATAAACGTCTCAACATCCATATAAAAAACAACTTCGTCAAGTGCTACGTACTTTCCACACTTCTCTACGGGGCTGAGTCGTGGACACTCAAAGTAAACGCAATGAATAAGTTGGAAGCATTTGAGATGTGGGTATATCGCAGAATGCTGAGAATACCATGGACTGACCGTGTCTCGAATGAACGAGTTCTAAACCAACAAGAAGACCGAGAACTCCTCGACATAATAAAAAAGAGGAAAGCAGCATATTTGGGCCATATCATGAGACATAGCAAGTATGAATTCCTTCACCTCATCATCGAGGGTAAAATTGAGGGAAAGCGCGGACCCGGACGGCGGCGATGTTCCTGGCTGAAGAACATCAGAGATTGGACAGCCCTGGACTCGCATGCTTTGCTGAGAAGAGCGAAAAATAGAGAGGAATTTGCCATGGTTGTTGCCGATCTTCACTGAATGGAGAAGGCACTTTAAGAAGAAGATTATTACATACTTGTTTTACAATTATTGTAATTCAGTAGCATTCCTTCAAATAAATTTTGATTTAAGTATTGTTAATATAGTCATATTAATGATTATAGCCCGTATGATTTCTAAAATAAATAATCAAGCGTGTTTTTATCAGAATTATTAAATGATTAAGTAGAAATAGTTAATATTTAGTAACTTCGACTTTTGTGTCTGGTATTTTCAATACGCCTATGATGGTTGCGCATGTTGCAAAATCTGTAAATTTTCTTATAAACATCAAATTCTTCAAGAATTACACTACATTCTTATTCATGTAAAACTGTGCGCTTTAGATGTAATTGAGTAATTACAGAATTGCTGTTTCTCCTCTGCTTTGATGTAATTTTCTTAATTTTATCTCGAATACCTTGTCTTGTACTGTTGTACATAATATCTTTTTACATTATTTTTCACGTTGCTAGATATATAGGTAAACTTTTTAGGTCGAAAAACACTTTATAATACAGCTACATTAATAATTATTTGTATGGTGTGGTCTTAAAATGTATAATTAAAATTATTATTCTCCCAGAAAAATAATTTCGGGAGACGATAATGCAATAATTTTATCGTCGTGTATAAAACAATACTTTTTCCCATAGCGAGTTACGTTTTAAAAAATATTCAGAAATTATTATTTCAAGGAATTTATTACGAGTAGAAAAAATAGTGTGCTGGGTTGGCGTTGGTTTCTATGTAATTTGACAAATAAATAAAGCTGTCTCTTTAGTTGTCAGTTTTGAGTCAATATTATTTTTTAATTCTCTTTCGTGTCGATTGCTGATTGAATTGGAGCCAGAAATGGCTCAAAACGAAATAAGTAAATTACCAACAGCCATATCCAAACTACTTCCATTTAAATCCCGAATAGCTTATGAAAAGGAATACATAGATTTTCAAAAATGGAAGCAATTAAAAAACGTGCGAGAAGAAATAAAGTTTTTAACCTATCCTCGCTGTTAAAGTATCATTTAATCTACCCTTGTGGTTAAAGTACTATTTTATGTATTATTTTTGATAGATATAAGGCAATTTTAACATTTACTATGGAAAAAAAGAGTTTTTTTGTCACAATTTTAGCCCAAACAAACTGAACTTTATAATCAATTTGCGCGAATTAGGCATATCCTCTATATCTACTTATTTCTCTGGTCGAGACACAATTACAGCGGTCCGTATGGAAGAAACAAAACTTAAAAATAACAACGAACACAGAAAAAAATGCGTTTTTCTTCGTCTTCAATTATCCACGGCTCATCTCGTTCGGGGCCCCGTAATCGCTCGCAAAGACGGGGCCCGTGAGACTCCCACAATTTGATTATGGGAAATGGGGGGACTTAATAATCCCCAGGTACCGCCCGGTGTTTTATCCGGACCGGACAACAACCATAGGCGTGCGCCAGAGGTCAGAAAAAAGTTACTTTTTTTTAAAACAAGCTGTCCTCTGCATTTGTTATTATATCTTATAGAACAATCCGGCTTTTTGCAAAAAGACTAGGCTTATTCTAAAACGCCGCATTTTTACACAAAGGAAGGAATTTTTTCAAAAAGCCTATCTATTTTCAGTCACTTTGCAGAAAGCCTAATCAGAATTAGGCATATTAAACAATGATGATATTTTCTGTACACTTCTGCAAAAAAACTGCCTGTTTTCAGTCATTTTACAAAATGCCAAATCGAGAATCGAGGCCAGGCAGATTAAAAAATGATCAAAGTTTAGTCAGCTATGAGCATAATTTAAGCTTTAATAAAAATACCCCATATTTGCCTATACAAAAACAATAATTATTTATGTCAAAATTTTATTACGTTTAGACGAAAACAACTTGAATCCTATTTCATAAATTTTAATTATAAATAACATAATTTTAAATACAAAATATAGTTAATTAAGGCCCCCTTGCGTTGTCTTACAATTTAACAAACATTGCGCGTATTTTTCAAAAAAATTAAATGCAATAGTATATGTAATTTTAGCTGATACTAAAGAGTAGTAAAAGCTTAAAAAGTCATCGAAAACCGCATCTTTATATCTTCTTTCAAACCGAAAATATTAGCAAAATTATAATAAATACCAAAAATAAGCTCTTAATTAACTTATTTTTACAACACGGTATCAATAGCCCTCTTGATTATGCCCATTCTAACAGAAAAATAAGATAGAAATAGTTAGTTTATTTTAAAATCGACGATATACCCGAATATCATAATATCAGATGTATTAATATCTAATAATTAAGATATTAATCATAGTGAAAAAGAAACGATGATTCAGTGAAGTCATGGTAGGCTTTGGAAAAAAGTTGCTTATGTCGTAATAGTATAAACATCAAATTGTTATTTGATCAACATTTTGATAGTCTTTTTATCTTTTTTATCTAAGCAGCGTTTTTTATCTTTTGATTGCCTTTTCCAAATGCCAACAACTTCAACTATGTACTTCAAATAATAAAGGCATTTAAAAAAAACATTTAAAAGATAAAAAAACGCTGATAAGACTATCAAAATGTTGATCTAATAACAATTTGACGTTTATACTATTACTCGAAAAGTAACTTTTTTCCAAAGCCTACCATGACTTCACTGAATCATCGTTTCTTTTTCACTATTATTAATATCTTAATTATTAGATATTAATACCTCTGGTATTATGTTATTCTGGTATTTCGTCGATTTTAAAATAAACTAACTGTTTCTATCTTATTTTTTTTGTTAGAATGGGCCTAATCAAGAGGGCTGCTGATACTGTATTGTAAAAATAAGGTAATTAAGGGCTTATTTTTTTGGTATTTATTATAATTTTGCTAATATCTTTGGTTTGAAAGAAGATATCAAGATGCGGTTTTCGCTGACTTTTTAAGCTTTTACTACTCTTTACTATCAGCTAAAATAACACATACTATCGTATTTAATTTTTTTGAAAAAACGCGCTATGTTTGTTAAATTGTAAGAAAGCGCCCTCTAGCGTGTACGTTCAAAATCTTATTATTTTTTTTATGGTATAATATAGAGTAAGAAACGCTCTTTTAAACGAGCCCACATTTGTTGGATTCTGATCATCCGGGTCCGGAGTTATTAATATTTAAATAAAGATAGATCTAACCTTCCCCCACCACTTTATTTTAGCAGATAGGGGAAAATGGTTCTAACAAAAAAAATCCAAAATTTACTGAAGATTATAAAGCTATTATTTATAGTACCCATTATCTAGGCAAAATTCTGTAAAAAATCTATTTTCTTATTTTCCATAACAGTTGCGCCCCCTAGTGGCCGTTTTACAAACTTGAAAATAATTTCCAGCAATTTCTCATAGCGCCTTTAGGTATAAATATTTTTTTCCGTAAGCCCTATGGCTAATACTTTCCGAGATACAGCCGAGAGCTATTCTTAGTGGGACACCCGGTACATACTTTAGGTTTACACTTAAACAAAATTTCCAAGTTTTTTATTTTAGGAGCTACAGATGCTCGACGCACTTTTACTGGACCCTGTATATTTTTAGAAAACATTTAATTGACTATCATTCTCATCCAAAATAATAAAAATATCATCCACATAGCAATGCTACAACAGTTATCTTTCAAATAAAACAATATCTACCACTTTCAGAAACAAAATGTTTTCTTCAAAACCCAAATTTTTAATTGTTCATATAAAAATAGTTGTAGGTACTCTGTTGAGTTATCCGGTACTAGGCTATTATTTACAGTTCTTTGTGCGGTTTATCACGGAACCACCTAAAACGTTTCTCGGAAAGTCAAAATGATTTAAAAGAGCGTCTTGAAAGCTCGTGAGTTTGGTTATTTATGTCTGCGTTTGCCTGATTTATGTTCTAGGTAAATGTTTTTCGGTATATTTTTACCATTTCCATTGCCAACAATCCCCAGAAATACCGTTGAAGTGCTATGTTTTAGCCTATAATTATTATTTTTACTTCTTGGTATTCAAAATCTACATATTAAAAAGTTATTTTTTGTAAAAACCACTGGCACTGCCGTTGAATGTCCATGAATGCTGTTCTGCTATGTTCTTTAATTCGAACATTTAAAACAAGCCACAGAGTTGATATTAACAATGCAAAAATTATAATGAAACAATTGGCTTATTTAACAATTTTAATATATTATGTTAGCTCTGATAACAAAAACAAATAATACCAAAGATTAATCAAATATACAGGGTGGTCCGAACTGTATTCAGGAAATTTCGACAGCATATTCTGTAGATAAAAATAAGTAAAAAAGTTCGTATAAATGTATATCCTAAAATGCTTAGTTTCGGAGATACAGGGTGTAGAAGTTTCATTTTTATTTCGAGATTTTTTCCCAATAATTTCTGAAGTAACATCGGGTCAACTTTCGTTTAGCTGAAATCAGTTATTAGAAAAAAAAATTGTTTTTTAATAGAAATGCGTAATTTCCAAATTTCGCACTTTCGAATAACTGAAATCTGCTATAAAAAAATACATGTTGCGTTTTATTTTTAATATTTTTCTGAACATATAAACACAAAAATTTTCCTGCGGAAATAAGCTGTTTTCATTTTCTAAGGAAATTTATTAGACTTTAGAATAGCTGAAATGAGTTATATAAAAAATAAATACATTTTTGCCTTTTAGAAGCATTCACGAATTGAGGAAAATAAAAATTTTCCTGCGAAAATAAACTGTATCCATTTTCTGAGGAAATTTAATAGACTTTAGAATAGCTGAAATGAGTTATATAAAAAATAAATATATTTTTGCCTTTTAGAAGCGTTTACAAACTCAGGAAAATAAAAAATTTCCTGCGGAAATGCTTGATTTTCATTTTCCATTTTTGTAAGCATAAATACATAAAAAATTATCTTTTTATCACTTTTAAACCAAAAAAAAAATCATTTTAAAGTGTCTAAAATGCTAACCAATCTAATAAATTTAATAATATTTTCAGAAAATCACAGTTAATTATTAAAATATAAAAACCACAACTTAACACCCTCCACAAAGAACAGCTAACCAAAGCAACCTTCCTCCGAAAGATGTTTTACCCCACCCAGCACCCCTATCCGCTCCCGGGTCCCCTTCTAAACCGAAAAATATATGAAAAACAAAGTGCACAAAATGACATTGACACATTTCCGCAGGAATTTTTTTGTATTTCTCTGCTCGTGAAGGTTCGTATAAAACAAATATAAGTTCATTTTTCGTGTAACTGATTTCGGCTATTCTAAAGTCAAAGCATTTTTTTATGTAAAAAAAAATAAAAAATTTTCGCAGACACATTTTTGTGTTTTCATTGTTTAGAAAAATGTCTAAAACACACCCCGAAGACTAGTTTTGATGTAACAGATTTCGGCTATACTAAAGTCCGAAAAATAAAAATGAGGCATTTTCGCAGGAAAATTTTTGTATATTTGTACTCCTAACGCCTTCTAGAACGCCGTTTTTTATATAACAGATTTCAGCTAAACGAAAGTTGAGCCAAACCATTTTATAACTAATCAAATCAATAGCGTATCCAAATAATTTCAATCAAAATAATGACAATCTATTTTAAATTACTAAGTTTAGTTTCTTAACGACAATATAACGTTCAAAAAATGATCTAGTAATATTATTATATCAGGTTAAATATATTTTTATCAATGATTTAACAGAAATAAAACTGATACTTCACTTTTTTTGGTTTTAGTTTAAATCACTTAATAACAACTTCAAAATTTCCTTAATTTTAAAATAATGAATTATAAGATAAAATATCAGGTAATAAAAGTACTTAAAAATGTGTCAAGATTATTATTTAATTTTAAACAACTATTAATACAAAAAAAAAAATTTACCTTGATTTTTGATTTTTTCTTCATGTTAAATCTTATCAAAAAAAAAATATCATACGAGCGCGACTCTGATAGATAATAATAATTGTTTAATTTTAAACAACTATAAATATAAAAAAATAAAATAAAATTACCTTGATTATTGATTTTTTTCTTTTCATTAAATTTTCTTGAAGCACCTTATTTTTTCTTATCGTGAAAAAAATCTCACAAAAGCGCGACTCAGTATAGAGATTTACATCGCGAAGAATATAAGAGAAGAATCCTCGGTACATGAAGAAGAAGACCTCACTTGCGGACATGTGAATCTGAAAACACTCAAAACATTGTTCTTGCTCTTCAGCAGAGCGAGGTTGCCATACAGGGCCCATTTTCCTTAAATCTACGAAAATTATTAGACTGCATAATAACATCTTAAAAAAAATACTCGTCTTGAAGAGAATCTACAAAATAAATTGGTTATTTTTTTAAAACACCTCTGCGTTGATAATAAATATGCGAAAATTTGTCGTTTTCTGTTTTGGCATTTCCATATCTATAGTTACCGGTACCAATGGTTGCTATGGCGCAATCCTTCAACAGCAAAACAAATAACTAAGTGACAGTTTTGAATATAACATAGAAAACCAGAATGTTGTCGGAAAGTTCTGATAATGAAGACTACTTTAATATTGGTACTCCACCAGAACTTACAGAAGCTGCAAAAAGAGCAGAAGCCAATTTACTTCCAGAGAAAAGTAGGGGGCGACATAAAATAGCATTGAAAGTATACGAAAAATGGTGTGCCGAAAGATATGCTAAGAATATTGCTTCGGGGAGAGTCTTGATGGCATATTTTAGCGACATGGCAGAGCAGAAAAAGCCATCTACTCTTTGGGCTACGTACAGCATGATACGGACAATGCTTTTAAGCCAAATTAATCTTATTATATAAATTAATCTTATAATTTTTCAGTTTTTAAAAGTTTTTTTTATAATTATATAGAGCAAAAAACATTTGAAAATATTTCACAACTTTTCATAATAATTTCATGCGTAGAGACCTTAGATGTAATGTTTAAAATTTAATTATAACATTTCAAGTGTAATTTCGTCAGGTTTAGTAAGCATATAGACAAATAACGGAATTAAAAAAATTATCGTTAATTTAATTAATAGGTAAACACAAATTATATAGTATCACACAATAATATCGTCGTGATCAGAAGGTGTAATAATATAATTTTATATTTCAACTTTCAATTATTTGCTGAAATCATGGTTTTACCAGTGTATATTCAGGGCCGTGTTTTTATCAATATCACACCATATTTTGATATAGATAATAAAAATGTATAATTGAAAAATATTGACAATATAGGTAGATTGGTTCTTCGAGGTCGCTATTGTCCTGTTCCACTGTAACTTTTACAGATCTACAAATGTTCTGTCGTTTCTTTTTCAAATTGACAGAACCTGTACATGGCTACTTCCGTCAATCCCACCATAATTAATAATTATGACAAACAAAAATAGTTTTCCATAAATGTCTTGAAAAAAACTCTTTTTTATCAAATAATATGTTAATTTTATTTATTTAAATTTTTACAAAAATGCATTTAGCAACGGCAGTACTCGATAGGGTACTGCAAAATGTTACAAAGTAAAGTCTTAAGGTGCTTAATAGCGCCATCTTGATTATCTTGACTGTAGACGTTGTCAATGGTGATGGTTGGAATGAAAGATGGATCTACGACTTTAGTTTTATTTCCGTTTGCTGACAGAAGATCGTCAGCAAGTCCGCTGGAAAGGCAGTCTTCTACGTCAGTCCAAGATATGTCATTTTGTTCAGCACACTGAAAAAAATAAAAGAAATAAGAAAAAAATTACGATAAAATATTAAAAAAAAACTAAAATAGGAGATTGAAAAAATTGATGGTAAATAAATACTATAACTATACAAGATTAGCTGATGACATAGTCTTAATTATTGTCCATAGTCCTAAAGAACTACGAGCAGAAATACAACCAGCAATAAAGTACCTAGGTCTCAAAATAAATTTAGCAAGACCATGTGTAAAATGAACTCTACAAACCTTTCGTTTAGCTTATTTTGTCTTATAATAATTGATACTATAGAGAATTGAGATTGAACTGAAAGGTTTCGAAAAATTTATTCATAAAACAAAAACTTACTCCTTGGAGAATGGTTGAGTTGGCAGGACTGGCAGATCTCTCGGCACAGAATACAAAATTGACAGTTTGGTTGACAGTTGCAGCATTGATCACGCAGGAGTGGACTTTGTTTCCGTAACATTCTTCCGGTCCATGTTGACAAGTGAAAACTTTCTCACCTGTTGAATTATCTTCCTGTAAGTTAAATATACATTTTGGGTATATTTCTAATAATTAGAAAACATCATGAGACAGACAATAAAATGTTTAAACACAAGGGTCTTATTGCAATTTGCTGTAACCTGATTATTTTCAAACTTATACAGTAAATAAAACATAATATTATTAACTACAAATTATTAAGTATACCTTAGTTTATATTTTTACACCTTTTATGAACCCCTTTATGAGCCAACAATATCTTTATTATCAACAAACTAAGTCTCAGGTTTGCTAACTCCATTTTGAGAAAAAAATACTTGACGAAGAACATGTTAGGGTTATGTCAAACCGCAATAAAAATTGCTTTCTTAAAAAAAACACGTTAAAGGTATTCAAAGTCTACATACACTGGCAAATCCATAAGGTATTAGCTCCACTTGTACGACGTCTCCACCAAAATTTACGTATGATGGGTGGAGTTGATGGACCAAGAAATCTATACTATCCGGACACAAAGTCTCATAGTACACTTGAAGAGTCACAGACGTTGGAGCATCGAGATATTTTGCCTAGATCAAAATATAAGGTTTATATTTCTTAATTTAGACATACAAGAATAGAGAAATTGACTTACAGTTGCTACACCTAGAACTAATGCCAACAAACTCACAAACTTCAACATGGTTTCAATGATAGACTATTCAATATGGCTTTAGGTAAAAGAATGACGAGACAAAATTTGCAAAAGCATTTTTAATTGATTTAACTACTTTATTTATCTCTGAATCTAAATGATGTCTCAAGTAGCTTTATCTATTTACCGTTTTCTTATATTTAAGTTCAAATGTTTGCAAATAATTGATATTTCAGTTAAATTATAATTATTGTCTGTTTTTCAGACATGTACCACTGTGATTTACTTCTTATCTTTAAATTACATGCTTAAGAGTCACATCCTTTTCAAAAATCTAATAAGTTGAGGACTTAACCATCCATATTTCCTTTTGTCAATGGCTTCTTGGAGGTTGCTATTGGCCTGTACCACTGTGATTTTTTTTCAGATCTTCCATATAGTTCAGTCATTGGGGATTTTTGCTCATGAAACAGTGGCGTATCATTAATTCGCTCATTAATTTATGAATAATTAAATTTAATTATTGAAAATGTGTACTTCTTTCCACACCACCCAAGAGGTAAAGTATATGGCGCGTTTATTTTAACGTGGTATCCCCGGAGACCTATTCCACTAGGTAAATTAAAAACTTTAACTTATCCGCGCAAGCCCGACGGACCTGGCTCATTGATGTAAAGTCGATCGTGTCTGCTGTGCTTGGCTCATCAGGGTGGTCTCTCAATTTGTCTAACTCTTCATCTTCAGCCGCCAGAGGAATATCTACAGACAAGTCCAACTCCTCTTCATCGGATTCGTCGAGTGACACTTCAGTGACGTTGTCACAGGATTTCCCATTGCAGTATGCACAAATCATTGAACATTTTAATCCTGCTTTTCTGCATCCGCAGACTTTATCACGTTGTGACTGGAGTAATGCCTGTTTTTGTTTTCTTCCAACCCCAGTCTTCGGCATCTTTGGTACAACCAGACCAATGCTGAACCTGGTGGTAAGTTCGCAATGAATGCTGTCCAGCACGACAATTAATTGTTCATAAATTAATTATTATTATATTAAACGAATTAATGATACGCCACTGTTTTATGACAAAATTGGAAAAACTAAACTAAAACTAGTTTTAGTGAACCCTAATCGACATTTGATTTCGGAAAATCGACTACATATACATATATCATACTTTACGCAAAATTGTAAAATTTCCAGGGATTTTGTGCCTAAACGGTTGACTTTCTAGAAAATTTTTGTAGTACCTTTTTTATAGAATATTTTATTCTCTTTAATTTTACTCGCCTCAAATTTTCACGAAAAACGCATAGTTTTCGAGATATTCACAAAACACCGATTTTGGGCGCCATCTTGGCAAGATGGCGGCGCCGGCGGCAAGTCTGAAAATTTGCATTTTATGGATTTTAGTTAGGGACCCCAAAACCTATAAACCTGCAAAGTTGCAAAACTTCCGGACTTTTTTTCAAGCAAAAATCCCCAATGACTCTGAACTAAAGCACTACATTACAACGTGGACGCCGTTGCTTGCAAGCCGAAAGATCTTGAGAAACACGACAAACAGGAAGCGGCAAGCAACGCAAGCACAATCAGAAGCAAGAGCGCGAGCAGGATCACGAGCAGTGTGGACGCGCCTTTAGACTTGCTTAAAAGGATATGACTGAAGAATGATATCCAGAAAATAAGACATAAGAAAAGGATCCCAATTGTACTGACCCGTAATATCAATTATTGCAAACCTTTTAACTTAAATATAAGAACATGATAAATAGATATGGCTACTTGAGACATCATTTAGATTCAGAGATAAATAAAGTAGTTAAGTCAATTAAAAATGCTTTTGCAAATTTTGTTTCTTCATTGTGTTACCTAAAGCCATATTGAATAGTCTATCACTGAAACCATGTTGAAGTTTGTGAGTTTGTTGGCATTAGTTCTAGGCGTAGCAACTGTAAGTCAATTTCTCTATTTTTGTATGTTTAAATTAAGAAATATAATTCTTATATTTTGATCTAGGCAGAATATCTTGATGCTCCAACGTCTGTGACTCTTCAAGTGTACTATGAGACTTTGTGTCCAGACAGTATAAACTTCTTGGTTGATCAGCTCTACCCATCGTACTTACTTTTTGGTGGAGATGTAGTCCAAGTGGAATTGATACCTTATGGACATGCCAGTGTATGTAGGATTTAAAATTTAAAAATAATTTTTAAAATATATCTAGGTACCTCGGGTTACATCAAACTGATATAGAAACATGTACAGGAAACGACAATCTGTAGCCCCTAGAATAAAAAACTTGGGAATTTTGTATAAGTGCAAACTTAAAGTGTTTACTGGAATGTATTTCAGTAAAAATATTTTTACATTTACAGGGTGGCTGAAAAAAGTGTTGAGTGATGGCTTTGAATAAAATTTACTGTGGAAAATACCATATGAAATATAAAACCGCGAATATCTACGAAACCGTTAAAAATAATAAAATAGGTACTGTAAATATAAAAAATGTACATATTTTAATTCTCCGTCTATTAAAAAATAATATACAGGGTGTCCCATTAAAAAAAAACGAAGAAAAATTATTTTACATTTTAGAAAGTTTAGCGTAGAATTTTGAACATCCTGTATGATTTAAGATTACGGTATTTACAGCAAAGTAAGTACAAGACCTTCTAAAGTAAGTACCTAATATAGTTTTGATTTCAGAGCTGTTCTTGTATTTTCAATATTTTTTTAAGCGGCTGAAAAATATATATTTATTTTATTCATTTATTAATATTTCTGAAACATATTAATTTAATCCTATATTAGGATTAAGTGATCTGAAAGGAAGCCAAAAATGCAATAATATACGGAATGTTCCGTTTAAAAAAAAACCTACAACCCTGTAGAAGTTGCATTTTTTTCCTGAAATACATCCTAGTACATACTTTAGGTTTGCACTTCCCAAGAAAAACAAAATTCCCAAGTTGTTTTTTATTCTGGGAGCTACAGATTCCCGACGCACTATTGCCAGACCCTGTATACATAAAATTGTATATTTATTTTACAGGAAGATGATTCTACAGGTGAAAAAGTCTTTACCTGTCAACACGGACCCCAGGAATGTTACGGAAACAAAGTCCACTCGTGCGTGATCAATGCCGCAACTGTCAATCAAACTGTCAACTTTGTATTCTGTGCGGAAAGATCAGCCAGTCCTGCCAATTCAACCATTCTCCAAGGAGTAAGTTTTTGCTTTTTTAATAAAGTATTTTTTCAAGTTCTTTCAAGTCAATATCAATTCTCTAAAGTGTCAGTTTTTAGAAATTAACTAGAGTGTACCCGTTTGTAATGGTGATGATAAAGCAAAGCAAGAATTTCCATTAACATACAAACTGGATAAAATTTTCTCACATTTATGTCAGCATAAGAAAAAACAATATGGTGATATTATTAAATAACTTGGTAATATTTGAGGGGTACTTTCATCTCGTTGGAATTTGACTTTCGAAAAATCCGTTTGCCAAAAATAAGCTTTTTACGTCAAGCATTTTAAGCAGAATCGTGGTTAAGAAATTACCCAAGTTTTTGGAACACCCTGTATGATATTTCAAAAAAATTTCAAAATATGTAAAAAAACCAAATAAATTATGCTTGTCCGAGCGTTTTCCCGAAAGACTAACCGTTTTTTAAATAACAAATATTGTAATATTTGATGGGCGTTTTCACCCTCTTGGAATTTGAGATTTGAGAAAGCCCTCCTTATCGAACCTCTACACCCCACAGTCAGTCCGTTTGCCAAAAATCAGCTTTAAACGTCAAGCAGTTTAAGCAGAATCGTGATTACTCAATGGTCATATTTTATGAAACATCCTGTATAAATTTACAAAAAATCTTAAAATATGTAAAACAACAAAATAAAATATACGTGTTTAATGTTTAAGAGTTTTTCCGAAAAACTCACCGGTTTTTAAATAAAAAATATTTTAATATTTGAGGGATAGTTTCACCCCCTTAGAATTCGAGTTTCGAAAAATCCCTTCTTATCGAACCTCTACACCTTAAAGTCAATCTGTTTTCCAAAAATCAGCTTTTTACGTCAAGCGTTTTAAGCAGGATCGTGATTAATCAATGACCAGATTTTCGAAACACCCTGTATACATTTTTAAAAAATCTTAAAATATGTAATAAAAACAAAATAAAATATACGTTTTTTCGCAAACTTGACCGTTTTTTAAATAAAAAATATTGTAATATTTGAGGGGTGGTTTCACCCTCTTGGAACTGGAATTTCGAAAAATCCCTTCTTATCGAACCTCTACACCCTAGAATCAACCTGTATGCCAAAATTGAGCTTCTTAGGTTGAGTGGTTTGAGCAGGATCGTGATTAATCAGTATGTCAGTCACTTAAAAGGATTTTATATATCAGTATAGATTTTGAGACCTCTGCTTTATTTAGTTCTACTACCAGTATTTAGTTCCTTGATTTATGAAACATCCTGTATGTACAGCTTAAAGACTTTTGGTTTTATCTCATTAGTTACTATTTGTTAATATAAAATGACATCAAATAAGAATCTATAGATATGCCAGTAAGAAAATAATATTCCTATTAGTTTATAAATAAATACTTACAGTTTCATAGCAAATAAACTTTCAGTCACGTGATTAAGCTTGACCGGCACAGCGTTGTCAACTTTTACATATTTTCTTTTAATCAAAATAGTTTAGGAAAATAAATAAATTAATTATAAATATTACTTACGTAACCAAAAGCTTAATTGATATGAAATATAGATTCATATTATTAGTTATTATACTTTGTTTTAACATTTTTCTCTTAATTTTTACAGTGTGCTGAAGAAAGTGATATATCTTGGACTGATGTAGAAGACTGTCTTTCCAGTGGACTTGCTGACGAGCTTCTGTCAGCAAACGGAAATAAAACCAAAATTGTAGATCCAACTTTCATACCAACCATCACAATTGACAATGTATACAGTCAAGAGAATCAAGATGGCGCTATTAAGCACCTTAAGACCCTGCTCTGTAATATTTTGCAGTACCCTATCGAATACTGCCGTTGCTAAATGCTTTTTTGTAATATTTAAATAAATAAAATAAATATATTATTATTAAAAAACAATATGTATTTTAGATAGTTATATAGTGTTATTGTTTTTCTTCAAGGCATGTTTATGGGGATATTTTCTTGAAAATTCCACTCCTGTAATTTTTAACCAATCAAAACGTGTTTTTTTGACAAATCACCATGGAAACGGATAAATTTTAGTGAAAATTTTTTCCTTGTGGGCACCCAACAGCAAATTATACTGGAAATTTTTTGACGTTTATAATGACAGAATATCTTTTTGCGAGTCTGGTTTTTATTTGTGTACATGATAATTTTGATACATTTCAATTACAAATTACAAAGCTGAGATGAAAGTTTGTAAACTGCTTCCATACGCTTCACTTCCTGGGTATCAACCATAGAATAACTAACTGAAAGAAATGAAAACTCCTATGTTAAAGCCTGGAAACACACGCTCGACGCGATCCAAGCGGGCTACTGGCAGAACTAAAAGTTCGCGCCATATTTTTAAATGGACCTTTACTGTCAGTTCATAAGTTTTTTTACTTATATTTGGTAAGTTCAATCTAGATTATGAACTTATTTGTAACAAAACATTTTACAAAATAAAAATAATGTATTTTGATACAAATAAATTAATAATCTAGGTTGAAATTGTCCCTGAAATTAGAATAAAACACGAAAAATTTGTAACTTGATTATTTTATTATAACATTGTTAATAAAATTACATATAACACATTCAACACTATACAAGTATATATAAAAGTTATCAGAATTATACAATCAGTTATAAGTAATTATAAAAAAGGTTATAAATTATAAATAAATAATTCATTATATAAAAGACATATAGTTACCGTGAATATAATTTGGTATAACTTTAATCTCAACTTTAATGACCTATTCAAATAGAAACATCTTACAATTCACATTATATAATACACAAAGCCAAGGGACAAAATTGTTATTAAATCTATTCTCGATGACTCGAAGCATTTTTTTTTCAAATAAAACAGGACATATAGGGCTTATAAATAATACAAGGGTATAGAAAATATATAAATAAGTAAATACAAATATATTTTCAACCTAATGATTAATGATTATACTCGTTTAAATAAATAAATGATCTTTTTAAAATTACTTGTTTGTCTTTGCAAATTTGTATATTTAATATTTATCTAAAAGCGTACACTTACATAAATTACTGCACAACCTTTAAAATTAAGCTTTTAATATGTTATACAAATTCTTGATTCGAATAAATACACTTAAATAAAACTTTAAAATTAATGATCTTCCAAATTTCTGAGACAGCCATTTTGTTGAAAGAATTTGTTTTGATTATGAGAAATTTCATAAAAATTATCACAGGGATTAATTAATCTTATATATGAAACTACTTGGCTTTTAAATTTCACAATCCTATCGTCCAAAATACTCTAAATTCGCAAAAATCCGTAAATATTCCCATAAAAACAAATCACAATTCACTTCCACTTCACAGAAACTGACAGACATTGCCAGATATGGAATGACGTTTATTTTTCAATTTATTTTACTGATCTAACTGATCCGGGTCACTTAGAAATTAAATTTTTATTAAATTATTTAATTATAATTGTTTCTGGCGAAAGCAACTTCATATCAATGTTTATTCATAGGGTAACAAAGCACATCGCTGTAAAATTATCAACATTTTATATAAATATTTATATTTTTCAACTACTCCAACTACTCCAATTACTCCACAGAGAATCAAACGAATTGTTAATTAAACTATACTCTGTGGATGACTTGATAAAATCATGATGAAATTAAAGTCCCTAGATGAATATCTAGGGACTTTAGATGAAATTTCTACGCAGCGCCATCTATCCCTCTACTGGCAGAAACTCCGCCGTGTTTCCAAAATTCAAATGGCAGTTTCATCCGCCTCCTGGTATCAACTGCTTAATCTCCTGGCGAATATTTTCTTTGCTTTCATGACCGAAGCCTTTGAATAAGAAGACTAAGGAAGGAGCATATCAAAAATCTTAGGTACACCACGATGGGCCTCAAATATGGCCGACTTAAATTCCGGTTTATCAGTGTCGTTCTAATTTTATTTAAAAAATGTAAAACTATGATGTAGGGTAGACGTGGGGTAGACTCAATAATTTGTTGTTTTATTTTACGTTGTGAATAAATGTTGATAGTTATTAAAATTGTTATAAAAATATATAATTCTAATAAAAATAGATAAGTTATAATAAGTATTTATTAACACAAACATCTGATACGCTACTGAAGCAGGTAAGTCAAATTAACGTATCTAAATTCTATGACATCTAATCTTTGACAAGTAATAAATAAAAGCTAAAATGCAAGAAAAATATATAATTTAGTTAATTTAAGTGAATTTCATAAATGATCGGTTTACTACACGTATGTATATTATATAGTCACTTACTAGCGAAAAGTTGTTCCATTATTTCACTCGATTTTTGCCGAGATCTACCGCACGCTACACAACCAACTATTTTAGAGTCTTTTTCGATAAATCGCGATAGTGTCACTGTTAATTTAAGTTCTGCCACAATTTCCATCTAGATTTACTACCTTTATACAATCGAAAAATACATTTTAATTATTTGATTTTCAAACACAATTTGGTGTGGAATTTTCTTACCGAATACCACACGAGGTCAAATTAAATCCGGAATTTTTTTCTCGCTCATGGATCTTTTTAGAAAAAAAAATTTCTAGTGGTATTACTAGTGAAAATTATTCAGGTTTCTCATGACTCTAGGTACACATTGGTTGAATGTTTTCTTCTTTAGATTTAGTATATTTCGACCCAGAAACACGACTATGAGGTTATTTTCGAGAATTTTTTTTTTGAAAATTTGATTTTTTTTAGTTTCTAATTAAAAAATATAATTTATCGATAATATGGCAACATAGGTAGTAGATTAAATATACAAGAAAGAAAATCCAGAAAAAATCCAGTGGTTCTCAAAATTTTCGCAAAAAAATCATTTTTTTTTGGAAATTTTCTCGGTTATTTTAGATTTGCTTGAAAAACGGTAAAGAGAAAATATTATGTTTCTTTTATTGAGATCTGACCAGTCCTGAAAATATTTGCACTTATTTAAGTCTCACCCTGTATAGTGTATATTAATACTTATTTATCTATAAATCTGAACGATGATGTTTCAAGAAGTAGACTTAATCTATTGCTTATCATGTTCTTATTATAGTTCAAAGGTTTGCTATATTGCGGATAACGAAAAAAATAAAGTAATGCGTTTTAGCAAACAAATCTTGTTTAGTTTCTGTGCAATCAAACAAAATTGCGTAAACAACTTTAAAAACAGTCGGAACCAAATCTGGATCTAAGTGGTTTCACGAAATATTTTAGCCAATATTTTTTTTTATCTGTCTAATTACTTTGACGTCGTACAAAGAAGGTTCCAGCCTTGACTTTTTAGTGTATTAATATTTTCGATATAACAGGAAATAAAAAAAACATTGTAAAAAAGGCTCTTAAAAAGGCTTAAAATTTATTACTTATAGTCCAGGAGTCAGTGAAGATTTTCGGTACTTATTTTCCCAGTCTATCTCTCTATAGTACTTTTATGAGTTTACTGAGATGGTTAAAAATATAAAAAAGTAATATTTTCACATATTTTTATACTAGCAGCAATTTAAACATATTTTTCTTGAACTCTGTAGACAAATGTTTCTTCTACAAACTGTACAAAGAGACTCAATGTTTCTTTTTATTTTGTAAGAGCCATAGACTTAAAATAAAATATAGACTGAGCATCTCATTCATAAATAGCTGGAACATGCGGTCAGACACTGTCTTGTTATTGTTGTGTTATTGTTTTAGGTTATAACGAGTGCGACACGAGCGATAGATAGGTTGTCTCTGTCGTAACGGTCGTTCCCTGACGACTCTGCCGAGAAACACAACACTGTCTTTCGTTTCTCAAGTACACCTGAACTCTCCGTATCATAGCCGGGTAATTTTTTTATTTTAATGAAGCTATAATTAAATTAAAAATATATCGTATTTAAACTTTTTTATATTTTATTGAGATTTAGGACAGGTTTTTTAAATAAAAGTTTAGAAAAAACGTCTTAGAGTCCAAAAAGGATAAAAATAATAAAATACACGTTATAGAAGAAATTTTATAGTCGAAATTACGTAATTTTTGAAATTAATTAAAAATTATTAATTTTAGTCAAACATTTACAACCCCTAATATTAATCAAAACAGGATCTATTCCACAGATATAATAGAATCGGCGACAGGGAGAGAAAAAAAATATATAATTGTTGTAATTTTTTTTCTGGTTAAGTGATGTCTTATTATGTAAATTAGAGAAAACATAAATCTGTTCCATTAAAGCAAGGAAGGTGATAGGAAGTGGATAAAATGAAAACTACATTTATTTAACTCGGTACTGTCTTTATTATACCGGGTGCGTCTCAAAAGTGGCTCATCCCCCATAATTTTTTTATATTTTCAAATAAAAAAACAAGATTTAGTATGTTATTTTAAGTCTATGGTAAGAGCACATAGAGCAGTAGGACTGTAGCGGTCCAGAATAAGAGTCCATTTCATCAGTTCGAAAAAGTAGCAAAATAAGTGTTCGGCATTTAATGTTTTATGTAAAACTGGCAAAAAGGGCATAATAGGCTATTCTAGAGGTTGATAAGTTCCTTAGAAACTGATCTTAGCGCAAAACAGGCAGCGCTCAGTTTCTTTGATGTGAAAGTCCCATTTTAACGAGTTGTCAACAACAAGTCCTAAGAATTTCACACAGTCTACGACGTCAATAGTGGTGTTATTAAGTACAAAAGGTTGTATACTACTCAAAAGTCAATGGAGAATGTAACTGATATATCTGAGAAACATCGTATGTTACACTTGCTAACTAATTTTGATTTTTGATCTCCGTGTATATACAGAGCCAGTTCAAAGGTCGTACTGCTTACGACAGTCGATATGGAGATGTACGAATTGTTAATTAATGTCGGAGTCATTCAAAAAACAGCTAGCCAGCGCCGCCTTGATTACACAAGTACATATTGTTTTATCTCGTTCGAGAGCAGATTATATTTGGAAAAACGTGATCGGATGACACGTGAATGCCGCTGGCCTACAATCAGTCGATCGTACCCATTTTTAATATTTGTGTGTGTATAGGAATTATAGATAGATTATTATACACTTGCCGCTATCTCTCGAGAAGTAAAAAAATGTAATGTAATAAAAAATATCATTTATTTAGGAGCAATGTAATGTAAGGTCTAAAATAATGCTGACAATACTGTTTTTTTTTATTTTGAGGTTGTCTACCCTTAAAAGAGTCTAATAAGCTGTACAATATAGCTATATCAATAATTATGACAAAACCCGTATGATCGAAAAAAAAACGGCGTCAGCGATGGCTATGAAATGAAGATAGCTGTCATTTTTTATGTAAAATTATATGGGGAATGTCATCGATTGTCATTTCTAAGCCAACTGGACGCCGTTTTTTTTTCGATCAAACGGTATTTTAATTATTACTGTTGGAGGTAGGTATCTTGGAGTTGCAACAGCAATACTAATTCACAACAATACAGAAAAAAGTAAAGTGTTTTTAGCGTATTGTGGTGAATAAGGTTTTTATTTTGTTGTTTTAATTATACTAATTAAAAAAGTGTATGTAAAAATACAAATTAAAAATCCAACTCCTTATATAGGTAACTCTATACACACGTGTATTTACATTTTACTAAAAATAAACTATTTACCTATAATATCATTTATATCTACACAGTATATAAAATACAATAATGTTAGGTAATTATTAAACAATATTCCATTTAAAAAAAAACACCTTTTAGTATATTTTTGGAAAGATGAATCGAAAAAAAGTCATGAGAATGATTCCAAAATGACAACTTAATGTAGTCAATAGAAATAAAATACCTTAGAGAACTCTAGAGATACAGAATTATTTCTTAACAAGTAAATAATGATTGATAACCCAGAAATACATAAATTAATAGAAGATTTCACGGAATGAAAATATGTGAAACAAATAAAGAAATAGAGGTAGGTCCTGGTTTAGAGGTAAAGTCCTAAGAAATTTCTTCGACTGTCTTACACCGTTGGAGGATTCTCATTCCAAGTTACAGATAGAGTCTTCCACGTTCTTGAGTTCCGTTTATTGTCTATATTGAATTTAAATCATATATATTATATTTTACAGTAGTATAAGTAGTAACATGCCGCTAAAAGTATAATGTTTACATTTCTTTAACGCTAAATACTTCCAAATTTTTATTAATAAGTATATACTAATTTTAGTTTATTCATATAAATTTATAGTGAATATACAGTTATTTATAGGTACATGATACATATCTCTATATACTCTCTGATCAGAATAACCTACTAATGAGGCAAGACCAAAATGCTTAAAGATACTAATTTTTTTACAAATTTTCAAAGGTGTAAAAAAATAGAAAAGCATATTCATAAAATTATGAAAACATTTAACAAAAGTATGAAACCATTTGCTTCTGTATCAAGAAAAAATAATATATACTGTGATTTTTTTTTGTATTTGCATTCAATTTACCATGTAATTTTTTAGCAAAAAGAATAAAGTTGAAAGAAAGATTGATAGGTATCTATTTATATCATTAATCAAATTCATTTCAGAAGGATAATAATTAATTTATTTTCTAAATCAATAAAGGTTGATTCCGTAATCGTTTTAAGCATTATTTAATTTTATATCTCCGTTACGTCTTTCATAAAGGAAAACACAACAACACATAGCTCTTTCCTGGTGCGTTTGATGGAATGGATCGACGATTTCACAGACCATTTAACTGCAAAACATAAAAGAAAGGTACAAAAGTAAAGCGAGATTTAATAGATTGTGACCTAAATAGCGTAGATCCTCAATTACTAGGAAGTATACATACAGTGCAGATATCGTTTTCTGTAAAGCTATAGGTACGTGATATTATTGAAAGCTTGTAATGTATGTAACAGACATTAGGTGAAAATTCAGCTATATTTTATTTCTTTATTTCTTACTGAATTAACATAAGCTTAATCATAACTCCCTTTACATATTATTAACAGGAATTAAGATGCGATAATTCCCTATAATTTTTATAGGTAACAACCAAGAAATACAATAGAGATTTTGAGTTATAATATAAAATGAAAATTGACATGTTTTTTTTTTCATACAACAGTTTTTTTTTCATACTTTTATTCAAGGAACTCTAGGTATATTAAGCCGTCATAATGCGTACATAGAACAAGAAGAGACTTTGCTTTGCCAAACATCATGCCACCAAACAAATATTAGATACTAGAATAAACGAAACAAATCTCAAAATGATCAAACATTTGATATAGGTTTTAAATTAAACTGCCTAGATCTTAATTGCTGTTTAGTTCTGAAAAACATGTGGATTAGGTTGTTGAATTTTTAATAGTACATAGACCCTAATTTCTGTGAAGCAATCATAATCTTTAGATAATTTAGCAAATATAGTCTCATACTTCTGTCTTTATTAAGATATCTAAGTAAACAATAGGTTTGTTCCAAGCAAACTTAAAAAAGTATTTACAAAATTAGGAAGATTCTATGATGCAGTAAACTTAAATACGTTTTATTTTATTTTAGAGAAGTAAAAACATATAGAGATACTCTATGATGTACATAACCTAGACCCTATTTTGTTTTTTCTTTTTATTAACGACATTGCTAACATAAACATCAGCGGTAAAATATGCCTTTTTGCGGACGACACTAGCCCCACTTGGAGCAAGAAGGACGTCACGGCACTTCATACGGTTATATCAAATGACTTAATCACCATTAAATCTTGGTGCGATTCGAACCTCCTGAGTCTCAACATTTCTAAAACTAAAGCTTTGTCGTATAAAAACTCGCTGCAGCCTTTTGTACTTAACAACACCACCATTGACGTCGTAAAATCTGTAAAATTCTTGGGGCTTGTTGTAGACAAATCTCTGAAATGCATGCCTATCGATGCTTTGTCGAAAAAAATAAGCTCCGCCTGTTTTGCATTAAGATCTGTTTCTAAGGAGCTTAACTTGTCAGTGGCTAGATCTGTTTATTATGCACTTTTTGAGTCGCACCTCAGGTATGCCCTTCCATTCTGGGGTACGTGTTGTGCGACTCAATTTGAATGCATTTTCAAGCTCCAGAAGAGAGCTGTTCGATATTCACTGGGACTAAACAGCAGAACTCATTTCCAGGACTTTTTTAAAAAATTAAAAATATTAACTTTTCCTTCCTTATTTATATTTGAATCCGTTTGCCTAGTACGTAAGCATGTATCAGCTTCTCAAGAAAGGCCATCTCACACTTATCCGCTCAGGAACGCGGAGCAAGATCTTTATCTACCTACCCCACGCTCAGAGTTAGTTAAAACTTCAAAATTATACAACTCGAAAAAAATGCACAATCACCTGCCATTTGAAATGCTGTTACGCACCATTTATTGGGAGGTTGGAACAAACCTTAAAATTTAACCAAAGAAACATACATTTTTGCTTAAAAACACTATACAATTTAATCAAAACAAACACAGAACGTGACTTCTATTAATACCCTAACCCCGTTCAATGACAATTCGAATATTTTATCTAAAACCTTAGAACAAACACACAATCAACAACCTCAGCATATATTATTTTTTTAAAGCTTCCTCTTGTCAAAGCCGACTCCGAAATAACAAAAACAAACCAAAGACCTTAAGCAAAGCACTCTAGAATTAACCTTTATTCATTTAAAAATATCTGGATGTAAAGTAAACAATAACAATGTTAGAATGGATTTAACCGATAGCGGACCTAATTTTTATGTTTGGGCAGTGTAAAATCTCAAAGTTTACATTGTTGAACAGCTGTTATCAGCGTGATTATGTTAAAGAAGCGTGCTAAGATTGTGGCGCGCGCACGCAGCGTTTAGTCTTATATATAATTCAGTACTTACCTAGACTAAGTAGCACAGAGTAGCAAAAGTCTTTAGATCATCTGGTACTTTGGTACTTCACCGGTGTTTGCAGAAATCCTAAAAAATGGAGCAGCTGCCTAAAACTCAAACCATAGCTCTCAGAGAAAAATTGATAGGGTAAGAATTTGTTTATTTTATTATTTTTTTTTATTTATTACGGATTTAGGCTTTGCAATTTTTATTTGTATTTGATTATTCTTTTTTTTAACTGATTTATAACGTGAGATTTAGTAAATAAAATTAAATAAATGTTTCTTTTTGTTAAAGGAAATAATAAATTAAATTGTCATCAAAATTTAAAAAAGAAATAAAAAAAAAACAGTTTATTTTTATTATATTTACCGGAATTAAATAATTTTTACTTCTTTGTTATTTATTTCTTTTAGAAATTCATTTAGTTCTTTTTTAAAAAAAATATTTGATTTTTAAAAAAGAATTTCAAAATTGCGAAAAGAAAATTAATGTTTTAGGGAAATTTGCTCACGAAATTGTTGCACAGGGTGTTTTAAAGCTGGGTAAAAAACAACTCTTCGATTAACCCTGTATAATAAGTCAAATACTAAAGTTTATAATAAACTGAGTTTACGAATTAAAGTTAATATATTTATATAATATAGTTTGCTAAAAAAAATCAAGAAAATAGGGATAAAAATAAAAAAAATATAACATTTTAAAAACTTGACCAAAAATTTTAATTGATTATTAATTTAATTATTATTTTTTTAAGTTTAGCAGTTTTTGACATAATAAAATTATAATTTTATGTAAAAACTACATTTCTAAATCAACTAATAATTGAATATTTTTCAACATCAATTGAATTTTTTCATCAATTTATTATTTATTTTTATCTTTTTAAAAATGTTTTAATCTATTTGAATTTTTACTACAATTTGTAAAATATAACACAAGGTACCCCCAAATATTTAAACAATAAAAAAACGATTTTTTAAATGGAAACTGTCATTTTTTTATTCTTTTTAATTTATCAGACGTCAAATAGCATTGTCAAAAAATATAGAGTTTGTGCTATTTAAAATAAGCAATTTGACAGCTACTTTCGCTTAAACCGGAAGTGGCAGAAAATATTTTAAAAATATAGTACAAACGAAACTAATCTTGACTTGAATCATACAAATCTGTATCAAAAATTTTTTCTAAAAAACTTTTAATAGACAATTTACTAAAAATACTATGTATATACTAATTTTTTTCTTAACAGAAACTCGAGATACAATTGACAATCAAATGGGTTAGAATTAATTTCACTGAAAAAAAAGAATTTTACAACTATTTTGTATTATACAGGGTGTCCCAGAAATAAGTGCAAATATGTTAAGAGGTGATAGATCTCGATAAAAGAAACATATTTTCTCTTTATCGTTTTTCAAATAAGTCCAAAATAACGGAGATATTTTACTTTGAAAATTTCCAAAAAAAAATGATTTTTTGCTAAAATTTTGAGAACCACTCGATCTTTTCTGGATTTTCTTGTAAATTTAATCTAATACCTATGTTGCCATATTATCAAAAAATTATGTTTTTTAACTAAAAACTAAAAAAATTTCGAATTTTCAAATTTTTTTTTGCGAAAAAAACCTCATAGGCGTGTTTCTGGGTTGAACTATACTACCAGTTAAAATATTTGCACTTATTTCTGGGACACCCTGTATAAGATACTAAAAAGATAAACTAAACACAATCAAAAAACTTTAAAAAATTGTTTAATTTTTAATCTAATTAAAAAAAAAATTAAATGCATGACTTTAAGATTTTTTTTAATAAAATTTTATAATATTTTTGACATTTTTAGGCCTTCCTGTCAATTGTTCTTTAGGAAAGACCCTCTCAAAATTGTGAGAGCTAAAGACCAGTACATGTACGATGAGAGGGGTGATGCCTACCTTGATTGCATCAACAATGTGGCTCATGGTAAGACTAACATAAGAAACTATCTCTACTATATCTCTGAATTATAATATTTTTCGACTGTATAATCGAAAAAAAAACGGCGTCAGAGACGGCTGGGAATGACAATCGATGCTAATTTTGGCGAGGTCAAGTCCTAGACGTCATTTTCTTGGCCCGTACTTTTCTTTATTTTTAGATGACGCTTTACGAATTACCAATTAGCCTTAAGAAGCTTGTAATTTATTTCTATATTAAGTAAAAATTATTTTAAATGGTGTAGTTTTGATGAAAGTATAGATTTAGTATTGATTAGTCATTAATTGTCATTTAGTTTTTTTTATCATACGGTAGTTACAGTGGTCAGTAAGTTATAGAGAGGTATAGAAAATAGACACTTTTCTATATATAGGTGAATATTCTGTTAAAATAAGAGATAATCTATCGTTAAAAAAGATTCATTCATGCAGAATGGGATTGATAATTTAGCTTCCATATTTTAGTCATTTTTTAATTTTTTATTTAATTAAACTAAAATGTATCTATGTCATAATTCATTTAAACTACTTATCTTCTTTTTTTTGACAAACAATATCAAAATTCCTTTATGTAGACAATAATAATTAAGAAGTCTTTGAATCCATTGTTTGTCTTTAGTAATCTGCCACTATTTCTCTTATCTGTATTATTTATAATACCATTAGTTTATATAATTAGACTAGGCCAATTATCAACTATAATGCTCCTAATTATCAGCGGATTTTTCCTTGAGGAAGAATATTTTATACAGGATGGTCAAACTTTAACAAAACTGTAAGAAAAGAAATACTAAAAATATAATTTGGGTTGAAAATGTTTGTGTCGTGATAGAAAATAAAACTCGTAAAGTTTGAGTTAAGTGAGTATTTATTTCCCGTTTAAATAACAGGGAAATTTTTTTTTTTAATTTTATAGCGTTCTAACAAATCAGCGTATTGTAAAAACCTATACATATTCTTGTAGGAAATTTAACGGTCTTCAAAAAAGGTCTAATATGATTTTTCATTTAATCGACTCGTTTGAAAGTTATTGAAGGTTAAAATTCAACTTCAAATCGTATATGATAACTTTTTTTATATTTTATCACGAAATAATGGCTCAAAAACAGAAAATATCGTATTTTTTGTAAACTAAATCCAGGTACAGGATGAAAAAAGTGCCGTACGTAGGGAACAATGTAGTTTTTTAGATAATATTTTTTTATTAACTAAATCTGCTACGTCTTCGATAACATTCAAATGAGTCGATTACAGCACGGTTAAGGTTAAGGTTATGTCTCCATAATGAACAGCACGCTTTGTATCTTGGTAAAAAAAATATTAAGAACTCATAGTTTACCAGAATTTTTTTTTCATTATCGTGAACGATATTTTCACGGTAACTAAAAAGAAAAAAATATATTTTTTGGTGCACCCTAATAGACATTGTAAAACAAAAATTCAATAGGAAATATTGAATGGAAATGTTAACAAAATACAGAGAACAAATGACAACAACTGTCAAATCGACTTGTTTCAACCATTCCTCATCATTTAAGTTACATAATCCAATAAAATTGTCATTTGAAAAAAAAAATTACGGGCAAGCTGATTTTTTTAGAGTTTGTCAGCGACCGGTCATCTGAGTGTAAAATAAACAAAATCGGAAATTTTCCCCTTGCGGTTTTTGAGCAATTGGGGTGGTTTTTAAACGGTTTTATTTAGCTCGACCCGTACGGTATTTATTTATTTGTTTGTTTATTTTGGTCAAAATTAGAAATTGAAATTTAAGTACCTTCCTGTTGACAGATTGATCTGAAATTTGGTACACACCTTTAGTTCCGATGACAATACAATATAGTAATATCAATAACATTGTAAATCTAAGATGGCCGCCGGTACAAAATGGCGGATTTCATATTTTTCCACAACCCCCTCAATATGGGTATCAAATGAAATCTTTTCGGTCTATAAAATGGTATTTTATCGTCTTGTATAAAAAATAACAATTCGTACTTTTATGCTTAGGCCTAAAAGAGCTTTACTTTCATGCCTAGACGTTAAAATGACTTTTTTATATTGTCAATCACGTATCAAAAATTAATACTTTTGTGACGTTTGAAAAAAAAACTAATTTAAGTTAAATATAACTACTAAAAAATAAATAAAAAAAAGTTAAATTAAACTAATTTAAGTAATAATATAACTTATTATAACGAACATTACGTAAGTATGCAGTGTTAATATTGACATTACATCGAAATAAATTTCCCATCGTAAGTGATATTTTCGCACGATATATTAAATTTAATTCCATTTGTTTGCCTAGGTAAGCTATATTGTGCACAGATTATACAAATACATACAGACTATATTATTATAGTGCTAATACATATCTACTCTGTATGGAAACGTAAATATACGTTATTGTGGAAAGTTACTGTTGTTTTTTCCTCTATCAGCTTATTTATGAAATTTGCATAAACGGTGACCTTATCTAATGTTAACGTTCTTTCTGATTAGAACTAGCTATATTTAAACTGAGGGGTATGTACGAATATACAGGGTGACCTATACTGGAATGGATTGACCGAAATTCTACTAACATCAAGGAGATTGATCATTGATGGTTTTGATAAAGTGGTCGAAAATTTTATTTATCTCGGATTTAACAAACAAGGGATGATGTGAAGAATAAATCAAACGGAGACGTAGCAATAGCTCGTAACTCAACAATAAAAGTGTCTAGAATATGAAGAGACTGATACTAGGGTTGGCATTTCTGGTCTTGGGTGCCGATTTTCGTGTGTACGAAGAGTACGATCAACACGCTTAGTAAAATAAGATGTACTGAATAAAGACAGAAGCAAGTATTTTCTCAAGCGCATGGAATCTATCGTCAGATTAAGTGGTTATGTAATAAATACTTCGTATTTTTGCTCTCTTCGGCTTACCAGATTGCCATAGCGATTCACTCCTATACAAGTAATCGCCGACCCAAGGTTTCGCTTGCCACCAGGGTATATCGCTACTTATGCATCTGAAAGCTGGACCATGAAAACTGCCAACAGAAGAAAAATAGATGCTTGATGCTTTCTTATGGTGTGGGCCTACAGAAGAATGCTAATTTCACATATAGAACATTGGACTAACCTCTCATTTCTAAGGCAGTTGAAAGCCACCACAACACTTTCAACAAAAATAAACCAGACGTACCTTAGGTACTTTGGGCACATTTGGATAAAAGAAAATGAACTGGAAAAACTCATCATCGAAGGAAAGATTAATGGCAAAGGAACAAAAGGAAGGTCTCCAACGTACTGGGTGGGCCAAATTAAAGGAAGGTTCCCTAGCGACACAAGATAGAGAAAGATACCTCTTTCGAGAGTGAGAAGAATGAGAAGAAGTTCATGTGGAAAAAAAAATTATAAAACTTTTGAAATACCTAAGACCTATGAACATTTTTGGACTAAATTTTTTGCATGTGGTCGTTAGGAGTTTTGTAAACACTGTATCTATCATATCTCCATAAAAAAAAGTCCAGACTAGATAAATTAGGAGTATTTAGGCATTCTATTACTTGATAAATGCATTCTGTATTCCCCAATTAATAGAATCATATCAATTAATTTTGCTGTATGATAAGTTCCCATTTTCGGCAAATTTCTGTGATTTTTTTCCGTTTCAACTGACAGAAAGAGATATAACTAGTTGTTAAAGTTGAAATAATTCGACATCTATGTGGAAGTAACGCCAGGCCACCTAGATTTTATCAAATGTGTGATGTTGAAGTAACAAAGCCACCTAGATGTTATCAAATAATAAAGATCTACTGATATTAAATCATAAAAATGAAAATATCTAGGAAAACCTTTGTCTGGGGGGTGGGCAACCTTAACAATATTTTGAATAGACATGAATTCTTCATATCGAAATAATATATTGGGTATTCCATTTAAAATAAAATAAAAAATTTGCTTTTAAAAGTGACCATTGTTCAACATTAGTTTTGTCTCACCCTGTATAACTTTTCGGGTCCAGTTTTAGTTTGATTTTAAGTAAATTGGTTACTTTCATAAAGTATTAGACTATACCGGGTAAATTCCAATTTAGGTAGCTTTTATTGAAATTTAAAATACGTTCTTCATTTGGGAGGACATTCATTTCATTTTTGTACAAACTGTCGTTGGTCTTGGAGCCTCCGCGTCGTATGGAAGGCACCACCCTGTATATGTAGCTACGTCAGAAAGTAAATAGACGTATCTACGATTTTTTCTTCAAAATATGGTTATTTGACCTCTTTATTGTTAACTGATAGATGTTATAAACCTTTACTTTTATATTTAGCAACTTTTAAATTCCGTATCAAAAAGAAAACAAATTTTTAAGATAATTTCTTCTATCAAACCGTTAATTATTATATCCTTAATTCTTATTTAAGTTCCTTATAAATATAAAACTGTAAACAACTTATTTTTATAAATCTCTTTTAGTATTTTAAGTACCTACACTAATTATTCTTGTTTCTATGACAACAATTTGGTGCCTATTCGATAATACCCAAACGCGTAATGCAATAATAAGTAGTTTTGTCTACAAAATAATGTTTGTTATAATTTAGGACGAATGAAGATATATAATTTTGGAAAATCCAGTTTGAACCGGTTTTAAAGTAATGTTTATTTTTGATAAGTCTTTTGGACTATTAATGCTAATTTATATTAATATTAATGTTTATCTAATTTTAGAAATTGTTGATTTTTTTCGGTAAAGTCACGCACTTATAATAATTGCGAAGTTAGAATTCTAAAGCAAACTTTTTAGTTTAAGTGTATACAGGGTGTAACTTTGGTTCCTACGAACATACAGGGTGTTTCAAAAAACATGTGCCATCTCTCTTGGGGAGATTCCTCACGTAAAAACAAGACTTATTTTTCATATCAACATAGGGCCGATTCTGCTTTGTTTCGTAGCTACAGGGTGTTAAAATCTTAATAATCTTTCGATTTATTATAATTTTCTTCTAAGTAGTTTTAGTGATTCGAATGAAATTTTGGGGGTAAAAGTTACTATAAGTGTTACATATTTTAATGCTAAAAAAATGTCAATAAATTTATCAGGGACGTGCATATTTATATTTGGTTATCACTGGAATATTTTTCCAAAAAAAAACAGGTACGGACGAAAAGTTATTACTCTTCAAAACAGTTAAAACACATGTAGGTGGCGCCCCCTACAAATAGGAGTCATATTGACATCAAACACAAATTTCTCATATCAAAAAACTCCCAGAGACCTATTTTTATCCAAATATTGACCCGTTACTTCAGAAATTATTTGGCAAAAATCGAAATAAAAATGAAACTTCTACACCCTGTATCTTAAGACATATATTTATACGAACTTTTTTACTTATTTTATATGCAGAAGTTGCTGAAGTTTCCGGAATACAGTTCGGACCACCCTGTATATAGCACTGTGAAAAATTTTTGAAACTTAAAGTGTAGTTTTGATTTCCAAAAATATTTTCATTGATATTGCTGGAGAATACTATTTCATAATTAAACCGTTTAAAAATATATTAATATATATTTACACAAGTAAAACTATACTTCTTGTCGTATGTAAAATTTTTTATTCTTTCAGAATAAGCCTTGCTTTGAATGTTAGTAGTTTTAAGGGAGTACTAGGGAGAAACATCCCTATAGCCATAGGTTGTGAATAAAGTCAAATGAAACACTTTGAGTTTTTCTATTTATTGTTAACATATAGAATTTCATGTATGCCTGAATCTAGAAACATAGAATATTATATTTTTACATTATTGAGAACCAGAAACTTAGCTTTATTTGGAAAAATCCGCTGGCAAAAGTTTTTAAAAGTTTTCAATAATTTTATTTCGTTTCTCCAGTGGGACACAGCAACCCCTCAGTGGTCAAAGCCGGCTGCGACCAAATGTCCCTTTTGAACACCAACAACCGTTTCCTACACGACGAAATAGTCATCTGCGCTCAGAAAATCCTGAGCACCCTCCCTGACAACCTCGAAGTGTGCTTCTTCGTCAACTCGGGCTCAGAAGCCAACGACTTAGCACTACGTCTCGCTCAGATCCACACCGGAAACAAGGATATCATCGCTCTGGAACAGTAAGTTCTTTTTACAAACCGTTTTATTTAACCCTTTCCAGATCAATCAACCCCCAGATGTGCTTGTTTCTTCTGTTTACTCTAGCTAGCTTTTAGGAAAACAACAAACACAACCGATTTTGTATATTGTAGACCCGTTCTAATGCTACTGTTTTTGTTCTTTTTCTTACAGCTTTAAAATTTAGATGTGCATAACGACCAGAAACCGTACCACGAATAGTGCCGTCGATTCTGCAGGCCTTTGAATTGCCTGCGAGTTATACCAGAGATTGATTTTTGCATTGAAGATTCTGCTTTCGGGAGATTTGCTAGTGTGTTCATGTTTTGGGTGACTGCTGATGTCTAACACCAGCTTCAAGATTTGCTCAAATTCCAAACTCTTACTTGAGTTTTGATCAAGGAAATATGTAACAAAAATAGAGATACCTAAACGTAACATTGATACAATTATTCGCTTTAAATTTTTACAACGCATATTTTTATGATTTACGATAAAATCATATTCTTGTGGAAAGCTCTCTATCTTAACATATTTCTCTGGCGATTTTTGAAACTCTATACAGTGTCAATTTGACAGATCAATCTTGCAATTGGTGCTAGAACGGAAACCAAAAAACTTTCCAGGACTGACACCTAATAAATATGATAAAATCACTTTTATTTGGCTTTATCATATAAAAATTGCATGGAAAATTATATTATAGAGTGTTGGTCTTGGGAAGATGCGAAATTCTTGAAAATTTTTTTGTTGCTTAGGTCGAATATTGTTCTATTTTTCTAGTGCTTACCATGGCCACTTGACATCTCTCATTGACATTTCCCATTACAAATTCAATCTTCCCGGAGGCGTTGGCCAAAAAGAACACGTCCACGTGGTGAGTTTTTTACACATATTTGGTTATACTATACGATCGAAAAAAAAACGGCGTCAGAGATGGCTTGGAAATGAAAATCGCAGTTGAATTTTTTTCGAGGCCCACTAGACGCCGTTTTTTTTCGATCATACGCTACTTTTTACTAACTGTCAATAGATATAGGAAAATAAATAAGAGTACACCCTGTATGCTAATCAGAATATAAATAATAAACCTTTTTTAGGCTCCCTGTCCTGACTCGTACCGTGGTAAATACCAAGACACCCAGTACAGCAAAGACGAACTGGGATACTTGTACGCCGAAGAAGTGAGACAAATCTGCGAAAATGTCAAAAACAAAGACCAAGGAGTGTGTGCCTTCATCGCAGAAAGCTTCCTAAGTTGCGGGGGGCAAGTTATACCTCCTAAAAACTACTTCGAAGAAGTCTACCAGCATGTGAGAAATGCTGGAGGACTTTGCATAGCTGATGAGGTACAATATCTCAAGATTTTTTTGGTGAAAATGGATTTAAAATGATTTTTTTCTAGGTCCAAGTAGGTTTTGGTAGGATAGGACGTCACTGGTGGGCTTTCCAGCATTATGACATCAAGCCTGACATTGTTACGATGGGAAAACCTATGGGAAATGGTCATCCAGTGGCTTGCTTAGTTACTACAAGAGAAATAGCTGATAGTTTCTTTAATACTGGAGTAGAATATTTTAATACGGTAAGAAAAGTCATTATTTTATATTTTCCCTGTATTTTTTATTAATATTATGTCAAATACACTTTGAGAGACACCCATCAGTTACATAGACAAAATGTAATTGGAAATAATAGCCGTTATCTTTCATCAATATATATAACAATATATTAAAACAATTTTCACTAAACTAATAAAATAATAACACCCCGTATATCGGGAATCATAATAGGAAGCTGCTTATTTCTTTTTAGCAATATATTCTTTAAAAAATCACTTTACATTAAAAAAAACCTTAGACTATAATACATCTAGACACCTAAAACACTTACGCAGATTGTAGCCAACATAAATTACTGAGGGAAGTGACCTCACGGCTCGTTGAACTGAATTCTTTAAGAATAATGGACGGTTTAAACATTTGCACATGCCCAATCTCTTTACCTTTATCTCTGGATTCAATTCATATTCAGTATTAATAAAAAAGTACCAACCAAATATTCTAAAAATCGCTTTAATATATTTAAAAAACATTAGACTATACCTATAGACTATACACCTAGACACCGAATTCTTTTACGATTATTGTAGCCAACATAAATTACCTAAAGTTACTCCTTACCGTCTTTTCATCTTTTTTTTTCAATTTAAATACATTATATCTAAGTAAAAAACGTCTTATTTTCAGTATGGAGGCAACCCAGTATCCTGTGCCATCGCCAACGCAGTTTTTGACACAATCGAACGCGAAAATTTGAGGGAAAAAGCTTTAGTAGTAGGAGAGTACCTTCTGGATTCCTGCCAAATGCTCGCAAAGAAGCACAAATGTATTGGTGACGTTAGAGGATGTGGATTATTTGTTGGTCTGGACCTGGTTGAAGACGCTACTTCACGCAAACCCAACAAAAAGTGTGCCCAATACGTTGTGCAAAGGTATTAACTTAAATTTGGCTTTATCTTTGATACAATTCGCATGTTGAAGCTTCCAGCCTTATTATATCCATTTTATATTTGAATTTAACTATCCATTACTCTTTAGGATGAGGGAAGAACATATCCTAGTTAGCGCTGACGGTCCAGAATGTAACGTCATCAAGTTCAAACCTCCCATGGTATTCACCAAGGAAAACGCAGACGAAGTAGTCCTTACCTTGGACCGTATCTTGAAGGAAGTCAGACATAAGGAACAACTAGACGCCAAAATCAAGAGTTTGCAGAGTCAGCAAGCACCTGTCACCGTGGAAGCACACACCAGCAAAGACCACAGGCCCAGGAGAACGATATTCGAACAGACCATCAAGTCGATTTGAACAAGAAAAAACTGTTTTTACTTTTATTTATTTATTATTACATTTACTTATATTAAGTAACGTTTAGGTTTAAATAAAACACTATATTTTTACTGCCAATACTCTTTTATTTCGTTTAATTTCTTTTCTAACAAAGACTTATTTAATCTATGCTTGCAAAGATATTCATTATTTAAAAAAAGCACGGGAATTTCATAGCGATACAGACGGAGCCATCTAACGTTCTCTTTCGAAGCTATGTCAATGGTTTCAAACTCGACTAAGTGCATATATGGAGAGAGTTCTGCTTTTAGTTCGTCACACAAAGGACAGGGGTCTCTAGTGTATAACGTCAATTTCGGTAATTTTGTTTTTGAAGTCGTTTCATTTCTGAAAATAAAATTAAAAAAAGAAGCATTAAAATTAATATAGTAGAGTGCATTTGTGTAAAAACTATTAAAATATTAGGATTTTGATTTATGAGAAGCCATAACAGGTAGATTATTATTTTTAAAATGAAAGTATCTAAGATAGTGTTAAAAAAATAATTTCAGATCCTTTTTAATGAATATTTTAGATCCTCTAAGCGATATAGTACGATTTTGATTATACAGGGTGGTCCAGTGTTCAGGAATAGTTCCATTTGCCGTTAAAAGCATCAATAACTGTACAAAACAACTGAATTTTGCAGGAAATTAACTCAAAAATCAAGTAAAAATGATTTGGAACAAGCAAAACTGTACTTACTTGCTTTATATGTAAAATTTTATATTCTTTTGGAATAAGCTCTAGTTTGATCTGAAATAATAGTTGTTCTCTGGCTTTTGTAAAAGATTTAAAGAAATAGCAAACCAGTAATCTGTACAGGTCTTTTTCAGAACACAAAGTCACCCTGTATACATGAAATACCCATCTAAAACCAATAAAACATTCAAAAAATCTTTAACAGTTTATTGTGGACATTTTTCACAACTTATATAATATAAAAAAAATATATTTAATAAAAAAACACTTTCAGTCGCCATTTTTATCACTTACAATCTCTCAATCATAATTGAAGAAGCTCCTCCCCCACCGTTACATATGGAGGCAACTCCTTTTTCTCCAGGTTTCAAGGCATGTACCAAGTGAACCACTATTCTTGCTCCAGACATCCCGATAGGGTGTCCCAAACTTACTGCACCTCCATGAACGTTAACTTTTGCTGGATCCAGCTCTAGTAATTTTTGGTTTGCCAGTACGACCACACTAAAGGCTTCATTGATCTCCCATAGAGCTACATCATCCTTATTGACCCCAGTTTGTTTTAAAAGCTTTGGTATGGCTACAGCAGGTGCTATAGGAAAGTCAATTGGTTCACAAGCACCATCAGCATACCCTACAATCCTTGCCAAAGGTTTGAGATTCAGTCTTTCTGCATTTTTTTGTGTAGTTAAAATCAAAGCTGCTGCTCCATCATTTAAGGTAGAAGCATTGCCAGCTGTTACAGTACCATTTTCCCTTTGGAAAACTGTAGCAAGCTTGCCAAATTTCTCAAAATTCACCCGCTTGTACTCTTCATCTTCTGAAAAAACTACATCAGGCTGTCCCCTTTTTTGAGGTACACTAACAGGAACTATTTCAGACTCAAACACTTTGTTTTGCCATGCTTGTGCACTTCTTTTGTAGGAATTAATAGCAAACTCATCCTGTTGCGCTCTGTTGATACCTATTTTCTTTGCTGTGTTTTCTGCACAATTTCCCATGTGAATTTTGTTATAAACATCTGTAAGTCCATCAAAAACTACTCCATCGATTAGATTTACACCTCCATAAGGAGTTTGTCCTCTTTTCAAGTAATAGGGTACATTGGACATGGATTCCATGCCTCCAGCAAGGACAACTTCTTGTGCTCCTGTCTGTAAGGCTTGAGCTCCAAGCATAACTGATTTCATACCAGAAGCACAAACTTTATTGATTGTAGTGCAGATTGTTGAGGTTGGGAGTCCAGCAAAAATGGTAGCTTGCCTTGCAGGAGCCTGTCCCACTCCCCCTTGGCATACATTTCCCAAAAACACCTCTTTAACTTCATCTTTCGGTATGCCAGCCCGTTCTATAGCAGCCTGGACAGCAACACCACCGAGTTTAGTGGCTGGAAGTGTAGATAGGGATCCCAGAAACGAACCTATGGGAGTCCGTACTGCCGAGACAATGACGACATCGTCACTGCTTGATCTGCTGGCGTAAGTCCGAACAGTTGTCTTCAAGACCTAGAAACATGATTTAGTTAACTATATGACTATATTTCTATTAAAATATACTAGAAAATATACCTTGGCTACTTTGGATAAGGACATATTTGTCGGCTTTATACACTGGCAATGAAATAAAAGTTATTTAGATAAAAATTAAGAAAGCAGTAAATGAACTTTGATCTCTATTAGCAAATATGTTTACCAGAGGAAATCGCAAACAGTGACTCTTAAAATCTATACTTGTAGAAACAACTTTAAATGCACGCTTTTGAGGCTTAAATTTAAAATATTAAACGCCTAGAATCATTATAAAAAGAAATAAAATATACCTTAATATTAAAAATAAACAAAATAACAGAAAAAGTTAAGGTTGACAGAAAATTTGCTACCCACAGAAAATATAAATAAGGCTCTGACCCCTTAAATGTATGCAACATATAAAACAAGTATATTTAAAATATTAAGAAACAATATATTTTATTTTAAGATAAAGCTGAGATTACGAAATAGAATAACAGTTATTCCGATAATTAGATAGTGTAAAAATATTAGCTATGTGGTATTTACTTAGTTTAATACTGTTGAAAAATATTATTTTCTAATCGTTTTTATGTTGAGTGTGTTGCATACTGTCAAAACGTCAGAAAACCTAAAATCAGCTGTTCATGACTTTTTTCTCGACTTGCAGCAAAAAAAATTGAGAAATTACAACTAATACAGCGATATCAATCAGACAACATTATGCGAATTTAACAAGAAATTAACAAAGAAAACAAAAACAGTGCGTCGCAATTTCCAGACAATGAAACTCAAGCTAAAAGAACAAATATTGTGAGTAACTTAACCTAAGAAAAGGATGAACGTTGAACTAAACAGACTGCAAACCTTCTCCGAGTGGCCAGGAGACGCCCCCGTAAGTCCCGATAGAATAGCCAAAGCGGGTTTCTTCGCTACCAAACAAGGCTACGAAGTAGAATGCTTTTCTTGTCACGTAAAAATATCAACATGGAACTATGGAGACCAGGCCATGGCCAGACACAAGGACCTGAGCCCCACGTGTCCCTTCGTTTTAGACCCTTCTACCTCCGGGAATGCTCCCTTCACATTCAGGCCCACAGTTGTACCTTTTTTACCCCTAGATTATACAAACGAATCTGTCAGATTGGCATCGTTTGAAAACTGGCCTGTTCCTGATATTGTGAGACCGGAAGACTTGGCTAGGGCAGGGTTTTTTTCGTTGAAAGACGGCGATAACACGAAGTGCGCTTACTGTAAGGGCGTAGTAAGGGCTTGGGAGCCTGGAGATGTGCCTGATTTAGAGCATAAAAGACATTTTCCTGCTTGTTGGTTCGTCCGGAACATTATAGAAGAAAGACTAACGAATAACTCTATTCCAAACTCATCCAGTAACTCTGTGACGCATGGTGAAGGACCCCTAATTCAAGTGAGATCTGAAGTAGACAATTTAAATGAGCTGGGAGTCCAGAAACATAATGGTCCTAAAAGACCTGACTATGCTACGGTAGAATCAAGATTGAGGTCGTTCACAAATTGGTCTCCTAGTTTAATACAGACGCCGGATCAGCTGGCACAGGCAGGATTTCACTACGAAGGTGTTGGGGACCAGGTAAGGTGTTTTCATTGTGATGGAGGCCTGAGGCATTGGGATCCAGAGGATGATCCTTGGACAGAACATGCTCGATGGTTTTCTACGTGTGCTTTTGTGAAACTGGTTAAAGGACAAGAGTTTGTGACAGCCTGTGCACTGGACAATGCAGAGCAGACAAATATGGTAAGTTTATGTTTTTTATAAAGCCACAATAGGCCCTTCTTAGTAAGTACAATACAACGTTTTTTATAAGCAAGTTTTTTGAGCATTTTTCTTTGGAAGATTTTTTCTAATTCTGGCATACGAAAAATTATTGAATTTTGTTTGTCTTCTGGGGACTAATGCTCATACAAAAAGCTCATACATTCTTTAAAATGTACGAAGGGGTCAAAAAACATTCATTCCTCTGAAAAATATGTGAGTTTTTTGGCAGAACGAATATTTTAGTTTCCTTTATAAAGTTTAGTACAAATAAATATTTTCTGTAGGTCATTCAGACAATTTTATGTAAAAATTAATAAGAATACTAATCTTTAAAAACGTGTCCGCTATTTTTAAACTCTGGTCACTTTATTTTTTTATAATAAATAATATCTATGTTACTTACTGAGGTCTCCTGAAGATCCATTTTTAATTAAGTATATTATATCTATTTAAAAAACGTATACCTAGGTATTTAAGATATGATGCAAGAGTTCAGGATAAAATATAGGAATATTTTTTAGGGGTGTCATATCGTTAAGTCATAACGAATTTGTTTGAGACAAATATTATTTTTATTTTTTCTTTAAGCAGGGTTTTTTTATTTGTGTTTGCTATCCTATAGTCGGTCAAATATTTAAGACAAAGTTTTTTCTTTAGTTTTGTCTTTAAAAAAATATTGATTTAAAAAAAAAACAGGATGATGCAGTTCGGTGTAACTTTGTGAAGGGTCGTCAAGCTTTTTTAAGGGGTACGTTTTACAAATAAAGGCCCTCCCTAGATGTGGCGTTTTACCTGACAGATAAGACTGATTAAAGACTAGCATATACACTGGAGATTTTACCTGCAGTTTTTTTTAAATTATATAGTATTGAGCTAAGACAAAAATACAGGGTTCCTTTTCCTTTTTTCTTGGATTCTTGGACCTATTCTAAGAGAATTCTTCCTTGTTAGCACCTTGTATCTGAAAAGTAAGATGTTCAGGTTACAGAGTGTAATTTAGTGATTTAAATAACATGACATAGAAGTTATTTTTGCAGTTTTTTAAATCAGACGTAAAAGAAGTTTGAATAATAATGGTAATAAATGATTACGATGATTCAGAAAAGGGCATAAACAGGTTTTTATTATTATTATTATCTATTTTTAAACCTGATTCCTTGCTTTTGGTAATGATATAGTGAGACCGGTGTCCAAAGATTTTGATCTTTGATCTCTGAATAACTGGACTGCGTTAGCGTTATTTTATCGACAGTGGCGTACGAATCTATTTTTGATTAGTTTTAATCAATATTATGGACATGAATAAAACACTTTTTTCCAAAGTTTACCATGACTTCACTGAAGCATCATTTCTTGTTCACTGTTATTAACGTCTTAATTACTAGATATTAATACATCTGGTATTATAGGGTATTCTGGTATATTGTCGATTTTTAAATAAACTCATTATTTCTATCTTATTTTTTATTAGAATGAGCATAATCAAGAGGGCTACATTTTTCTAATATCTTCGGTTTGAAAGAAGATATCAAGATACGGTTTTCGCTGACTTTTTAAGATTTTATTACTCTTTATTATCAGCTAAAATTACATATACTGTCGCATTTAATTTTTTCGAAAAAACGCACAATGTTTGATAAAAAACTTATTATTATTATTATTGTATTCTGGTATTTCGTCGATTTTAAAATAAACTGACTGTTTCTATCTTATTTTTTGTTAGAATGGGCATAATCAAGAGGGCTACTGCTACCGTATTGTAAAAATAAGGCAATTAAGGGCTTATTTTTTGGTATTTATTATAATTTTGCTAATATCTTCGGTTTGAAAGAAGATATCAAGATGCGGCATTCGCTGACTTTTTAAGCTTTTGCTACTCTTTACTATCAGTTAAAATTACATATACTCTCGTATTTAACTTTTTTGAAAAAACGCGCTATGTTTGTTAAATTGTAAGAAAGCGCCCCCTAGCGTCTACGTTCAAAACCTTATTATTATTATGTTTATGGTATAATATAGAGTAAGAAACGCTCTTTTAAACGAGCACTCGTTTGTTGGATTCTGATCATCCAGTCCGGAGTTATTAACATTTATATAAAGATAGATCTAACCTTTCCCCACCACTTTATTTTAGCAGATAGGGGAAAATGATTCTAACAAAGAAAATCCAAAATTTACTGAAGATTATGAAGCTATTATTTATAGTACCCATTTTCTTATTTTCCATAGCAGTTGCGCCCCCTAGTGGCCGTTTTACAAACTTGAAAATAATTACCAGCAATTTCTCATAGTCCTTTTAGTCATAATTTTTTTTTCCGTAAGCCCTCCGGCTAATACTTTCCGAGATACAGCCAAGAGTTATTTTTAGTGGGACACCCGGTACAAAGTTCAAAAAAATTCTCTTGATAAAATACTAATGAAGAGAAATAATGAAAAAAAAACATTATTTAGAAATTCTATGAATTTAATACTTTATTGTGTACGAAAAATTATTTTTGTACGCCTATGTTACTGACCAGAGCTCCTTTTTACATTCCTTTGTATTTATATTGTCTGTTTTTTCACTGCCAAATTTAGAAAAAAACCTCATAGTGCCAGGAATGTGCGCTGTTGCCACTGGTACCCGAAATGGTTCTGTTCAAACTCCAAAGGTACCATTAGATTGATTCTTATATTTATTTAAGTAAAATGGCGAATGCGCCAGGATCGCTAAAGGTTACGAATTTTTATTTCTTGATCGTCGAGCTGTTATGAATGAAAAGAGATTGTGTTCAGCGGTCTAACAATGAGAAAATTATGAGGTACCAAGTGGTACCGCAAATAGTACCCGGCAATATACAGGAGGTTTGGTTGCTTTAAGTGTTAGCGATGGAAAAATAATGAATTTCAAAATATATGTTAAAAAGATGCGCATATTTTTGTTGTTAAGTACCACTACTGTATGGCTAAAGTCATAAAATGACTGTTGCTATGAATGTTCTCTCTTTTCAGAGAAAATAAAAGATTTTTTTTGAGTGATTCAGATATACAGGGTGGCAATAGTGCGTCTGTAGCTCCTAGAATAAAAAACTTTTTTTTTATTTTAAATTAAAATGCAAACCTAGAGTATGTAACGTACTAGGATGTATTTCAGGAAAATATTTTAACTTCTATAGGGTGGCTCAAAAAAGTGTGAGTGAGTCGGGATGATTTTTTTTAAATGGAACACCCTGTATATTATTACATTTTTGGCTTCCTTTCAGATCATTTTACATGATCCTAATATATGAGTAAATATATATATATATATATATATATATATATATATATATATATATATATATAAATAAATAAAAAATACAAGAATTTTCCGTTTATTGCCGGACTCTGTATGTATACACAAGTGCCTCGTTTTCGCGGGGGTTCGAAACGAACTTTTTATTACTTCAACTATACAGGGTGAGTCTTTAATAAGTGCAATCATTTTTAGGGGTGTTATATTTCGACCCAGGAACTTTCTATGCGGTTTTTTTTTCGCAAAAAATATTAACAACCATTTTGCTGGAATCTAGATCTCCTGGTCTTCATGGATGACTTCTAGCTAATAATCGTAAGTGTCCAAAGAATACTGATGCTGTGGTCTTTTCGTACTGCCCCCCACCGCAGACGGGAGCTATTGTTTTTATTTTTTTCGAGATGAAGAAGAATATTCAAATAATTCTTTCTTTCCTGTTTATTATTTTTATCTTCACACTTAATTTGCTTGATGCCGTGGCTTTGTTTCAAATCTCTGGATTATTCTTTGAACTGTTGACTTATTCGGTATGGGTCTATCCAGGATACTGAGCTTCAAACATATCCGACACAGCACAGATACTATTACATATCAGCAAAAAAAATATTTTTTTCGGAAGTGGTTAAAATCATAATTGTTTTGTACAAAAATGAGAATTCCTCTATTTGGTACCTTCAAATTATTGTAAACAAAATCATATTTTTACTGGTATTTTAATTGTAGCTTTCTCTGGACTGTATTAATAAATTTTAGTAATTTAAAGGTAGATTTTTAAAAATATCATTTAAAATCTATTCTAAATAAATAGTTATTTTTTATACAAGACGATAAAATGGTATTTTATCGTCGACCGGAAAGATTAATTAAAAGAAATTAATTTCGGGACACGATAATGCAATTTTATCGTCGTGTATAAAACAATATTTTTTCCATAGCGAATTAAAACGTTTTAAAAAATATTCAGAAATTATTATTTCAAGGAATTTATTACTAGTAGAAAAAATATTGTGCTGGGTTGGCGTTGGTTTCTATGTAATTTGACGAATAAATAAAGCTGTCTCTTTAGTTGTCAGTTTTGAGTCAATATTTTTTAATTCTCTTTCGTGTCGATTGCTGATTGAATTGTAGCCAAAAATGGCTCAAAACTAAATAAGTAAATTACCAACAGATATTCACGCCGAGGCGACAAACGCCCTATCCAAACTACTTCCATTTAAATCCCGAATAACTTATGAAAAGGAATACAAAAATTTTCAAAAATGGAAGCAATTAAAAAACGTGCGAGAAGAAATAAAGTTTTTAACCTATCCTCGCTGTTAAAGTATCTTTTAATCTACACTTGCGGTTAAAGTACTATTTTATCTACCATTTTTTTTTATAGATATAAGGCAATATTTTAACAGTTGGAAAAAACAAAATTCTAGACGATTGTACAATTTCAACGCCTCTTCAAAAAAGTCTAATACAACTTGTGCATACAATCATCTGGGGAGATAATATTTGAAGATAATATTTCAAAATTTACATGGGATTTTTCTTGCCCCATGTCCTGTATAATATGCAAAAGTTTTTCATGCTACTTCGTTGTATGGTAACAACAATTTTTACCCGTCACACCCAACATATTTCCAACGTACATCACGTTGTGTGTAACAATTAAAAGCAATAACAATAATAATATCTACTGGAGGAATTTTTAAGCATA